GAAGTTTCAGGGAAATATATGAATCTTTTTCCTCCGTTTTTACAGATAAATTTATTTGCATTCGGATCAAACTTATCTGAGAATTTCAACAGATAATATTCGTAACTCTCCTCAAAAATAAACATTTTACCGGAGGCAATTTGGAAAATCTTGAATGTTCGCATGGCGGTTTCCGATTTTCCTTAGCACGGCTGTGTAAAGCCGCTGCATATTTTTTGACGCAAAAAGATCTGTATAAAAGAATAGTGAATAACATTGCATGAAAATGGAATTAACTCAATAACTCTTTGTTAATCAACACTTATTTTTAACATTGCAGGTTGAATCGATCAAATTGACTATCTAAATTCTGTTTCTGAATCAATTTGTATACTTGTTTGGTGACAGTATTTGTATTGAAGTCCAGCGGACATACTCTCGCTGAATCTGACTGCATTTTGCAATTTGGACCTATTAATTCTGGCTCATCTGAAAAAACACTTATGTGCATAGGGAAACTAATGGCACATACGATGTTTTTAAACCGGGCCGGAATTTATAGGTCCAAATTGCAAAATGCAGTCCAATTAGGTCAGTGACGAGGCGTGAATGATCGATTATCGACATTTCCCCATTTGAAGTTGTGTTAAAGAATCAATTATCAAGGTGTTCGTTGTGAACACCCAGTATATCGATACTTTTTCATAGGTTTAAATGGCAGATCAATTGATATATCGCAAAGCACGTCACGCCATTGAATTAGGTAGTCAGTAGTTTCTTGGAGCATTATGGAGGAGTTTAAATCTCTCGGTTGATTTTTGACGTTTCAGTATCATAAATCTACCTTTCGACGGTGAAACTGCACAAACGCGATTATCGATTCTGATGTTACACAATGTTTGCTCCTAATTTATTTTTTTTAAAAAGATTAAATCATTATTATATCGTTTGAAATTTTCTCAGAATATTCTTCGACCAGCCAAGAAAATCACCAAATTTTCAAGAAATCGTTACCTTCCAGGCAAAGTATCACAAGCGCAATGCGACGTTTCAAAATTTCCGCCGCCATTTTATTTTTTCACAGAGAAATTGTTCAACGAAGCTGTCCGAAAGTTTAACTGAATTTTTTTTGTGCTGCCAGTAAAATTCAGGGAAATTTTCAAACAGATTTAACCAACAACTTCTCCGTAAAAAAATAATATGGTGGCGGAAATTTTGAAACGTCGCATGGTGCTTGCGATACCTCGGTCGGAAGGTGACGGTATGACGATGAGTAGTTTTCTATGTAGAAAATAAAGTATAACAGGAAGCTTGCAACGCCGCAAACCAAGACACGTATTTCTGCAGTTTCACCGTAGAATTGTTTTGAAAAGCTCCCAGAAAAATTGCTTCAATCTTAGGATTAGGTTCCTCTTCAAAAATATATCATGAACAAAATGCGCTGGAAATGTTTTTTTATTGAACGATCGTCGATGATAGAAGTAGCTTAAGAGCAAGATAGGCAGTTTTTGGTCGTATTTTTCAGCTGAAATCCACTGCTATGATTTCCACCCAGGGAAGCGCTGGAGACTTGAACGCAGAGAGAGAAAAAAGAGTCAGAAAATTTCGGGGGCGCACATTCGGCGCTTTTTGTATGACAGGATTTTTCAAACCGTAATTAGAAGTGTGATTTCACTTTTCCTAACAAATCTTTTCCGAAACATCGAATTTTGATGCAGGTTTACATTGCCATTGATAGCCTCAATCAGCATAAGCACCCCTTATGATCTTATCGTCGAAAAAATTTGATGTGAGTCAAATTATTTCTCTCTCGTTGTTAGACGTTGGCGTTAGAATTTTTTTTTTTTTCGGAGTACTTTGGTTTTTTGAAATCGTGTAGCGGGTTGACTGACAAGTTTGACTATTTGATGAACTCAATCAACAATGTACGAATAAACTGTTCGTATTTTCCTATGTTCTTCCACTTATTTTTCAACGGTGTAAACCTCCTCAACACTTCCTTACTCCACCTCTTGTGTGTTATTTTTCTTCCTTGAACCCTCTTTCATTTTAAATAAATTTAAAATACAAAACTTGAAGACGCTAAAGTCCAGTGTTTTATCTTTGGTTTTACTTCCCCGACGTTTGATTTAAAGGGGAGTAGAAAATACTGTGTCACCTAAAGTTGCCTATCCAGGAATATTTTCAATTTTCCAATAGAAGGAGGTATGGTGTGGTTTAAGGGAAAAAACCTTAAGGTGTTGCCAGTCGTATATATTTCTAGAATCCAAACTTCACTGCTTTCAACCGCCCTTTATTCACTCCTAATTTAGGTAGTTTTTTTTTGGAATGCTTCAAACTTCCAATCTACCTAAAAAATCAACGATGCACTTATTTTCTCTTCGTGTGTGATTGAGTATTTTAGGTTTTATTTGACTGTATTTAGATTCATTTGACTTCCTACAGTTCACTCACATGCTATTTACCTGTTCAATTTTCCAATGCTCCTGTAACTACATTGATAGCCTTTTTGCTCTGATTTAAAAGTGTAAAAGGCATATTGCTACATTATATTACCCTCGAAATCTCATTGAAACCTTCTCTCCTCTCATATATTTTTCATACTTTCAAATTTCACGTTATCAATCAAAGCATTTGCTTATTATTTGTGCTTTGACTCTTTCAAATATTTTGAAAATGTATAAATGATTTTTAGTGTCTATTCCAAAGCCCCGCTTCGCTTGTCCGGAATTTTAATATTGTCATTACTGAGATTTTTGCTGCGCGCGACTTGTTAGGCCAATAAATTAGTTTACGCCACAAATTGCGTGACACAAACGACATTTTTGAACCCACAACTTTTTTTCGCTAAAGAAGTATGCAAGACTGGCTGTGCATCAGTTTAAAAGCAGGGTTTCCCCAACTGTTTTAAACCATAAGTATATTGATTCACAGCACCAGAAAGTCGACGTAAAACCTGGATTTTGATACGTTTACAAATTACTTAAAAAAATGCACTCTGAACGTTAAAATAACCATGTGTATGTCTTGCAGAGCATATCTTAACCTTCCGTTCCTCATATTTTTTTCAAGTTTTGTAAAGGTGCAGGCAGGAATATTTTTTGTACTCTTTTATCTTGACTTTCTCTATCCTCTTAGTTTAAATGGGCATCTTCGAAGTACTTAAGAGCAGGGATGCATTATCTGCTAAGCTTCCAAATTTTCACGCGCCATTTTTTCACATGTCTTCTATCTGCTTTCCCCAAAATTTCCCTCCAATTTCCTTAGTTATGACCTATTTCTTCTTTTTTCCCTTTGATTTTTGACTTTTGATCCTCTAAGGTTTTCCTCTGTTCCATACGTTTGAAAGGGCCTTTCCTCGTTTTCTGCATCCCTGCTTAGCAGTAAAAGTAAAAATTGATTTTGAAAATCCCAAATATATCAACTCTTTAATGGAATGAATTAGATACATGTTGTAGTAGTAGTTTTGGGTAGAGTATTACAGTTCTTGCACCATGTACTGTTATCTTTGTCAGTATGTTTTCAGCATGAACATTATCATTGCTAGCATTTGATCTTGTCAAGCCTTTTTACTATTTGCAACTAATTCACCATTTTCTTGCTTCTTTTACGTTTAGTATTTGCGTACATAAGATTTTAAGTGCAGAAATTATTCAACACCTTGACTTACAACTCTCCAGATTTCGAAGGCATGTTTTCAAAGCAGACAAAATTTCTTTCGAAAAGACCTTTTTAACAAATACAATCCATTTTACTCGCCTAGTTCAAATAGATGGTTCTAAAACAATTCATCGCCAACAAGTGCTGTCTTTCATACCGCCATGGAAGATCTATCATCTTGATTTTTCACTCGCATGTTTTCAGCCTTAGTAGGAAAGTCAAGATGAAAAATCTTTTATTACACTCTTACAACTGGTAAACAAAATTTACGATCAATTTCAGTAGTGTATGCCTACTTAGAAGTTTCACCAGAAATTTCCAAAATATCCTGAAAACTTAACTGAGCTTTCCTTTTTTTCCACTCTTCACTGAAATCAACAGTTCCTCGAACGAAGGAAGTTGTAAGCATCTTAGATCATAGCTTTACACGTAGTCAGTCACGATATTTTTTTCTGCTTCACTTTTCCATTAAGGCATATATTTTCACTAGTTTAAAGCTCTTTTTCTAAAGTTAGCTTTGAAGAAATAATATTAATGATGATAATATGGTTCTCTCTCATAAGCGATGCAAAGCTTGTTAAAGTTTTCTAATTGCTTTTACCTTATTTTGCTGACGATTTCATCAATACGAAAGGAAAATAGACTTGGCTCATAGACCCAGAGGGCACAATCTGAAACTATTACTTGCACTAAAAAGTAAATTCTAATAATTGTTTTGTGCAACTTAATTTTAAAATTATTGTCCTTCAAGTTGATATGTTGACTATCGTTAAAACAGTCCTTAGACTCTGATTGGTAGCCACCATTGTTATCATTTTTCGCTATCAGTTTTTAATTTTTAGTTTAAAAACAACACCTACACTGTTAAAAATCAACGATTTACTCTGAGTGAATAGCCGGCGTGAAAAAAAATCCAGCGCGAATTTCGCGCCGCACTCTGAGTGAATAGATCAGAGCGTAAATATCACCAACGACGGACGAATCAGTTGAGGTACCTCAAGTAGCGTGAATTCAGGACTCGGGTTCAAATCCATGCTGCGGCAGTTCCGTTTTACGTTTGCCTGTCAGATTTTCACTCCTGCTAGAGCGCGAAATTCGCGCCGAGCTTATTTCGTGCCGGATCCATATACTCAGAGTAACAGGTGGTCAAAATAGCAATTGAGTAAGCGTGGATCTCGCGCCGGGATTTTTAACAGAGTAGCAACAAACAGAATATGACAAGTAATTTTTAGATTTGAACTGTTTTATTTAGTTCATGGGATGAAAATGGTGGGCATTTTTTAAATTCTGAAAATCAGTGTGTTTTTCCTGAAATTGAATGTAACAACTTTTTTTTCTGTTTTTTCCCATAACTTTTTCAGATCGACTGGGTCGAAGGCCATGTCCTCTATGCCAAAAAATAATCTCGAATAAGTCTAATCTACTAAAGCACATGCGAATAAGGCACAGCGACGAGTACAACCCGGCCGGTTGTGTTCTATGCGGGAAAGTATTTAAAAATAAGTATAGTCTAAGAGCTCATATTAACATTTATCACAAGGAGGTTACCTCATCCATGCCCTCCCCACTCTCATCCAACTCCAAAATCGATCAGTACTCCTTCAACCCGAACCTAATCAACCCGCAGAACTTCCAGCTGTCCCAGCAGCAGCAACCACAAAATGTCAACCAACTACCGACAACGACTCCCAACTTCCCGCCCCAGAATAGCAATATGATCAACTCAAACCCCACAATGCCTCCGAATAATTTCCAGTTACCAGCCTCCTCGGGTTTTAACCCGGTTGTCCAGCAGCAGCAGCAACAACAGCAGCAACAGAACACGTCAATGCCCAACTTTGCACTTTCCTCGCCTGTTTCCACGGTGTCCACGGCTGCCATTATTAGTTCCAATAATTTCAATCTGCCCTTGTCGGGTCCTCCCCCCGCCCCCAACTCCCCTCACACCATCGCGGCTTACCCCACATTCCAGCACCCCGCCGCTGCACAGTTCATAGTGCCCACCACCAACTGACAATTCGCCTCAGACAGCTTGTAAATACAGGGTGTCTAGCAATTGGCAAAAGCCTCGGAAAGTCCTCTCAACTTGTCGTTTCCTGCAGGAAAGCACCTAAGTCCATTCGTAGGTTGCCAAATTGACTCGAATAATTCACTTTTTTACAAGAAGGTAACCTTGCAATTCTTGTCCAAATTGGATTGCGTGAAGCTGAAAGGAACCAAGCCGCATCAGCTATTGCCAAAAACTGGGCAATTCAATTTTTTACTTGAAATTTGTGTGCAAATTTCAGTGAATTTCGTGCTTATGGTACGAAGCGAATTCCTTACAATTTTCAATGTAGTCCACACAAACTTTCTCTCCAAAAATTAAATTGCTTGGTTAAATTTGGCAGTAGCTGATGGAGCGTGGCTCCTTTCTTCTTAACGCGGTCCAATTATTATTTCTGATTCTTGCATGAGATCTGAAGAAAAACTAGTCAAATTCTTAGTCGGAAATGCCCAAGATTTTTTTCGTTAACAATGCAATTTGTGAGGGGAAATTTGACAACGTTGGAATGTAGTTCCGTTCTTTCCTGACGGAAACGACGAAGTGAGAAAATTCAGTACTGTGTAATATAAGATATTTTTATGCTTGTGATGACTTTGCACCGTAGTGGAAGAAACCTCAAAGTCATTTGCAGCTTTTTAAAATCATTTTAATTTTTCGTAAAAGAACTTACTTGTAAGTAAGTCATAAAAGATTTTTTGTCTCCAGAATGTGGGGATCGATGGCAGCATTTCTAACGAAGGTACCTCTTCTGATGCGTAATGAATCCGTAATAATACGTAATAAGTACGTAAATGTCTAAGTGGTAATTGAATGGTACGTATTTTACCCTCAGTAACCTATTTCCTTTTTGTTTAAATCACCTCTCATCTAATGTTTCCTCCTGTCAATCTTTTTTCTGCTGTCATCTCTTTGAAGCATTTGATTATGATCCTTAATTAGGAAACAAAATTGTGCCTGTGATGGTCCATACCGTTTTTATATTCTTATCTGAGCACTCATTTTACAACGGTGTACTATATTTATGACAGCTCACAAAAACATTTTTGCCCCATGAGTTTACCCTAAAAATGTTTTTGAAAGTGAAGTTAAGAGCAATATCTTATCGATCTGTCGCAAGAAACTAGCAATAGTTACTTTTTTTCTCCTTTTACCCAAAATATTCTTTACGTGGCATCTTAACTAGAAGTCACTTCATTCTTTCCCTGTATTAATTCGAATTGTCATATCAAAGTAAATCATCCGTCAGTTCTAATTTAAAACTATCATAAATGTTAATGCTAAAGTATAATTTTGTCATGTTTAAGTCCTGTTGTAGAATACATAATACCCACCGTAATGAAAGATAGGGGTGCAGTTCTTGGGTTAGATCTCATTGTAAAAATTTAAGGAACGGGTATGAAAATTTCAGTTGTTTTGTTTGTTTGTAGATATGAATATATTGTAAATATAACCCTTGGGTTTCTTTTACTACTGACGAAATGAAGTGTGAAAATTATGTAAATGGAAACAATATGCAGCTTGTTAATAAAATATGAAAGTATGTGTATATCATTTTGATCGAAACATCTGAATGATTCCTTACCATGATTTTGTGTTACTATTTTGAAAGATCTATATGATGAACGTTTTCACAAAAAGTTAAATTTTTTAAGATTTCAGATAAGACACTCTTCTTTTTATTTTTGTATTTACTCATTTTATTTTTGTATAAATCTCTGCTGTTTGTAAAACAGTTTGACGTATGTTGAAAACCAAAGAAACAATTTTAAGAAGTAGCCCTCTTACACCAGGAGCATCCTGTATTTTCGTCAAGTACATAGAAAAAATAACTCTTTAAGTACCTTTTCTCCACGAGTACTCTATTTTCTAGAGGCTGTATTTCCATTTTTTGCCTGTCAATGATTGGAAAAATTTTTCCTCATAAATTCTCTATCCATCTAAAATTATGGCATCATTCCACCAGTTCGAGCATAATGTTTTAAATTTTTTGCTTGAAAGCGGATTTAGGAAAGCTCATTTTGAGTCTTTTTTTTAAAGAAAAAATTCGTTATCCTTTTTACTTGCCTTCAAAAAAAATCTCGAGCGCTTTTCAAATCCTTGGCGTTTTTACTCAATTTGAAGTCATAATGCAGTCTTCATAGCCCTCAGTTACATTGAATTAAAACTCCGCTTGCTCCCACCAATCGTGTATCTTTTCTTCTATTTTATTCGAAGAAAATTAAGAAATGGAGAGAAAAAGGAAAGAGAAGGTAAAAAACAGAGTGTTCCAGACGTCGGTTTTACGTATTTTTGTTTTTAAAAAGAAAGTACTGAACCAACACGTCTCATGAGAATCGCCCTTAAATTTTCATAAAAATAATAAATAATTTTTTCCTTATTTGGTGCTGTTACGCTCACCTACCAAAATGGAAACATTTGATGTCCTCTCTCTATTATAAAATTTTGCTGTCCCTTCTGAAAATTTTTTCTACGATCTTGTTACGTGACGTGCCCCTCATTAGCTCATTTAAGAGTTACTCCCCTGTAGTAACACGAAGTGTAAGTATCCTGTAAATTATAAAAATGTAAGTTATTTTTTAATAGTTTTTTTTTAAATATTGCATTTTTCATCATTGCGGTTGTTGTTTAAATGATTTTTATCATTATTTGTAATTATTTTTCGCCCAATTTCAGACTTGAAATAAATTTCATGGCACTTACTCATTGCCTGATTGGTACTTTAAAAGAGGGAAGTGTTTAACATATTTTTACTGCACATAATCATTTTTTATTTTTATCTAGACACAAATGAGATGTTTAAAATTATATTCTTCTTTTTTTCATAAATATTGTTCATTGTTAATTTTTGCGCCTTTTCATTTGTTGAAATTGCACTCATTGACAAAGTGGGATTTTTGTATAATCGTGGAAATTGAAAGCTTCTACAATTTCTTTGGTACGTTTTCAACTATTAACGTCAATAATGCCTATTTTTTTTTAAAAAAAATTTTCTATGACCACTGACAAAGTTGAGTTCCGGGTAATTTTTTTGGATTTTTTTTTTTACTCGAAATGACGACTTTTTTGAAAATGCCATAATCTGGACCCTCTTGAAACGATATTTTTCACGGTTTATATGACGGAGATGGCTCTTCGTTCGTTCAGTGGTCAGAAGAAAAATATGGTCCCATTAAATTTTCGAACATTATAGAAATGCTTCTTTAAATATCCCTCTCAACATTTAAGTTGAAATTTAAAAGAGTTATTAACTCTAAATGCCACAAGTTGTAAACCTTTTGAGCACTCTGTGAGACATTTTTGAGAAAATTTTGAATTATAGTCTCGCGTTACTTGTTGAAATGTTATTTGCTGAAATGAATTTGGTTGTGTCAATTTTTTATTTTTGTTCAAAAATTATTAAATCATCTCCCTTTCATCATTAAGTTTTTTTGTCTCAGAAAGGCACCGTGATTATTTTAAGTTATGCTTTTTGTACCTACTTTTTGTAAAAATCTAATAGAAAAAGCACGACTCGTGAATAAATCGTATTGGTGAATGAAATATTTGTTTTTAATTTTTGGTTTACCTACCACAAAGTATATTTTTTCATCCGCCACGTTTCAAGTTTCAATTTTAATTTAGTTCCTCAATTGATTCTGTGATCATATTTTTATCCTTAAATTTCTAATAAAACATTTTAAGCTGTGTGCAAGAAATCGACCATTGAATTGAGCAATTAAAATTTGCACCATCTGTTTCAAAATACAGATTTTATTTGTGTTCTTTATTTTCCGTCCGCTCTGAAAGAGATGGGTTCCTGTTTTCGAAGGCTTTTTAGTTTTTTAAATGTTGGCACCTAATATTTGAATCGGCTCGTGCGAAAACCGCTAATGTCCATTTTTTTCAATTTTGAGATTTTTGGGTTAAAATACCCTCGGAGGTCAGACACACTCATTAATGTAGTGAAAATGTTTGTTCCTTAGGTTTGAAGCCCTTTTCAGGGGGAGCCGTGGTCCGAATCATGCGAAAACCGCTAATGTCCATCTATCGTTGTATGCCTCATTACTGCACAACAAACCAAAACAAAAAAATGTCTCCTGGACGACATTAGGTGATCTTTATGCATTTTAAGGCGCTGAATCCGAATATGACCTCCGTTTTTTTCCATCACCCTCCAATTTTCCGGAAAAGCCGATTTTACTCGGAAAAATGATTATTTTTGGGCATTTTCGGTGATTTTCCGACTGGTATCCCGACTGTTAAATTGGAGGGTGATGGGAAAAAACGGAGGTCATATTCGGATTCAGTGCCTCACAATACGTAAGACTAACCGTATTTTTCCCGAAAGGCATACTGAAAAATATGCGTTTTCGATGTTTTAGAACCGTCCACGCACAAATCATGCGAAAACCGCTAATGTCCAGTTTATTGCTGGGAGTTTAGTGGCGAAACTTATTTTAAATACCGCAATTGTCCGGAATTTCATTTTTTAAACCTTATGTGAATGATAATCTACCGCTTTAACATCTTTAGAATGAATTTTGAAAATATCAAACGGCTCCAAAACTCGGCGATTTTTACGTATCATGCGAAAACCGCTAATGTCCAGAGTCCTTTCTTTTTAATTACTCCATTCCAGACAGAAGAGGAGGTGGAAACTGTTAGGGATCCTTTTCTACAATCCACTCTTGTAATAATCAACTTCTGAACATTTTTTAATCCCGCATTTAAAAGGCTTCTAAAGATTTTTGCAGTTTACTCAAAATAAGAGAAAATGGACATTAGCGGTTTTCGCACGAGCCGATTCATTTTATGTCGTGATTTTTTTCCTGTGTGACTGTTGAGGCGTAAATACATCCTTTTCCTCTCTCCCTTACATTTCCTCTTAAATTTTCAGTCAACAGCAGACCTGGCATTAAATCTGAATTAATAAACGATATTAAAAATAAAAAAATAAGAAAGTAGAAAAAAAAGGCCCAAAAATATTAATATTTCATGGAACAACTTAAATATAGTGAACATCTTGAGTAAACTAGAGCGAAGAGTAGCAATAATATTTTACATGGTACTGGCAAGACAAAATTTGATCATTTGTACGTTATTTACATTAAACTTACTAACTACGCTTACAAATTAAGTATTCCAAAACATTCATTAGAAAAATATAGTATGCCCATGCACAAATCACTAAAGAAGATAAAACTAAATGAGGTACATGTTATTACAATTATATAACTTCTTTGTACTAGATTTGATCAAACTCTGGTACTCATTACAGAATAAAAATAAATAACAATTTTAAATATCACTAAGAAAATATGTCACAAAATTATAATTATTATGCAATATTTATGACGATTCTGGTATCTTACAGACTATACTACACTTTGGCACTGTAACTGATTTTTAATCAGCAATGTGCGGTTGAAAAGAGTAAAAGTTACATGCTAAAAACTATACCTATGGAATTCTTGCACTTAGTTTACATAAGTTTAAAGGGTGCAAACAAGAAGTAAAACTCCTGAATTTCTGAGTGTGGTTTCAACCCGCATCCTCATTTTGAATTGCAGAGTTATCTAGCTTGCAGCTAAAGTAGGAACACATATTCTTAGCAGGATTAAAATTCACGCATAGAATTTTAGAAACATTAATAATTTTGACTGTCCTTGAGAAAGGAAGCTTAGTCGAAGGAGGCAAAATCTTCAGTAGAGGATTTTTTGTTGAGTTGAGTGAAAAAAATCGAATTTTAAGATTTTGTCGGCAAACTAGTGTCATGAAAAAAAAGGTATCCATAATTTTAGGTCGTAAAATTTCAATACAATTTGATAGCTTTGAGCCTGAACAGGATGGAAACATTAACCAGCTTTTGCTGAAAATAGGATTTTGTTTCGATTTCAAACGAAGCACCATGACCACGGTTTTATTTTTGGGAGTTTCATACCTCAAAATGTTTGCAGAACACTCGTCTGTGCTCTAATATAGTCTCCATTAAAATGACAAAATCAGTGGTATGCGCTAAGCTGTCGTCTTATTTGCATTGAAATCGATTCTATCATATCCGATTAATATTTTACCTCTGGCCAAAATTTGAGAGGCACTTCAACCACTTGTTCAAGCAAGTGAAGGTCAAGATTTTTAGTCCCAAAATGTACAACTAGAGTCAGAATTTTAGAAACGTCATTCAGACTAATATTTCTACGCGAGCTCCAAAATACTCCAAACGACCTATTAAGTTTTGATTTGTCGTCATAGTAAAGACAAGAGGTGGTGGAACCGGGCCTTACCCAATGGAGCAACATCTTCCCAGCGACTCACGCAACGCGCGATGTTGTGGATGAAAGGAAACCCAAGGCGCCTTCGCTCTTCGGTCTATGCAATACGGACAGCCGTCGAACATGTATAGTTGTATCCACACGTCGCGTCAGGCGCCATTAGCCTGAACGTCCGTCCCCCGAAAAATGAACCGAACGCTCATGTTCCTTCGTAAAATCTGTTTCAGGTAAGTTCACTACTTCCGCGAATGACAGTTACAGTCTCTGCGCAAGCAGATAAAAACTGTAAACTTACTTGAAACAGCGTCTCGTAATAAAGTCACAGCAAGCAGCTATACACTGGAAAAAAAAAAAACACATTGGATCTAGAGTCCAGACTCTTGGTTACATTGACAAGAAAAAATACTCTTGATTCAACCGGATTTTTGCTTGAATCAAAACGAAATCCGCTTGAATTAAGAGGCTTGGTTCTTGATTTAAGCTAGATTTTGATTGAATCAAGAGTGCTTTTTCTTGTCGATGTTTTTAAGAGTCTGGACTCTAGATCCAATGTGTTTTTTTTCCCCCAGTGTAAGTGTATTTATTGTTTTATTTATTTTTTTCTTTAACATGCGCAAAGACCGCAGCCCACTATAATTTTTAAAAATAACTCTTTTCGTGCTGCAAAAGCTGATAGTTAGATAGAGACGCTTGTCTTGATGTATCGAAGTAGTGGTAGAAACTTCCACCTCCAGGGACTCAACATTTTCCTTCGGGCAGCAAATCTTGCCCTTTTCTTGGTTGTTTCAGTTCGTTTCAGGTGAAAGCTCGCATAAATTAAAGTCCACCTACAATCTACCAAGAATGGTGGAGGTTCTCAATTCATACCTGCTCTTAATGTCGTCCAGTAATCAATCGACGAACAGACAAACGATAACGAACAAAATAAAATAAAATTCAAGACCCAAAAACTTTGAGTATTTAACGAGAGTAAAATTCCACGGCCGGTAGCTGGTCGCCCAGCTCTAGCGTGGAGTAAGGCCCAGAGTATTGGAAGAAAGTTAAATTGACATGGTAATTAAAAGTAATCATAAAACTAATCAAAGAGAGTAAAGTCAAAGTCGGCTCCAGATCGGAGCTTCACAGCCTTGAACGTAAGCGCGGATAGTGCAAACGTTCTTTGATTTGGTCGGAGGCCCTGCTTGGGCTACACAGCCATCATAGCGAAGAGAGCAGTAAGTGCAAAAATTAAATTTTGTTTGAGAATTGGCGCAAAAGCGTCTGACCGAAAAATTGTATTGAAAGGAGCCTCCTTTCTTTGTCAAATTGCCATCCGAAAGACTCCAAGAAATCGTTTGGATTATTAAAAATCGTCCGATTTTATTTCAATTACATAAAAAGGGTACTATTTCTTTTCATGTTAGGCTAGTGCTACGCAAGAAAGCAGTAAGTGCTATCTTCTGCAATTCTGCATGCTTTCGTGGTCGCATTATGAACACACAATAAAAACATTTTCAGGTTAGAAATTAGCAGAAGAGGGCAGTACTTGAGTACTTTACTTAAAAGCACTGTTTTCATTGTCTCTCTGGAGGAATAATGTTACTTAGGTACTGTAGGCTGTTTTGCCTGAAACTACGTCATTTTTTGCGCACTTACAACTTTCTCATGTATGCCTCGTTTCTATACAATTAAGATGCATTTTGCTGTTTTAGCTATTTCTAGTAGTAGTGATTAGACGAATTTTGAAGGAAACTCGAATTCGAAAATTTGATACTTACTGCTCTCTTCGCTAACACGGCAGCACAGTGGCGATTCTCAGTATTGTTTTTCCTCCATTTAAGTCATTTTCGATGTGTGACCGGGCATGGAGGAATGAGACTTAAGGTGAAAAAGACAAAATTTGAGACACGTCGTCGTTTCTATTGCGAAAGAACTTAACTACATTTCATTGTTGCCAGATTCTTCTGCGCGAATTGCATTTTTACCGAGAGCATTTTGAGACTTTCTGACTGATAAAGTCACTAATTTCTTCTCAGATCCCATGCAGAAATCAGACAAAACGACGAAAATTGTGCAGGACTATGCTCGCATAAATTGAAATATTCGATTCAATTTTGCAACCTTGGAATAGAGGCACGCTCCTCCGTGCGGGAAACAACGAAGTATACCACTATTCATTCATAGGGGGTAATTTCGCATCATTTGTCAGGAGGAACGCCTAAAAATTCCAAAAATTGATTTTTCTAGAGCTTCAGACTTTGAGGTCGATAAATCGCGATTTTGAGGGAAACGCAATTCAAGTTGGAGCCAGTACGCTATTGCCAGCCGCTAACCTCGTTCATTTTATCAGATGCTTGTATTTTTGTTGATCATGCAAATAATCTGAAATCCAGGCGAACAGTAGGTTGACGTTTATTTTCACCAAAAAACGGAAAATCGGTCATTTCGACTTGGATCGGGGCTTTTCGCTCTCCTGAATTTGATCTGTCACCTTAAGTCCCTTTCCCTTGCCCGGTCACAGATAGATTCTATCCATATTGTTTTACAAATCGATTACTACGAACACTTTAGGGGCTACACAAGTCTCCAATTTTCAAAAACACAAAATTTTTCGAGAAAACTGACTCACATGTGTAATTTTTTTTTTTTTACTTGAATGCGTAATTGCGTTTTTATTTTTTTCTACTTAGAAGGAAACAGTTCCCTCCGAAAATGCTTTGTTTTTAAAAATCTGAATCCAGTGGCGTGGCGTGAATTGCGTGATCGATTGTTATGCCATATAAACCTATGGAAAAAGATCGATAAACAGGGTGTTCGCAGCGAACACCTTAATAATCGATTCTTTACCATAGATTTAAATGGCATAACAATCGATAAATCGCAATTCACGCCACGCCCCTGTCCGAATCGATTGTTTTACATACACTTAGATGGAGGAAGAACAACGTTGCCGACTTGCAAGAATCGCCCTTCCTAGGTCCGGGTTTCAGATGCTCTTCATCTCGTAGTTGAGGTTCTCTTTCAGCCTGTTGCGTTCTTTCTCCCATTTGTTCAACCTATTCAGCGGATAACTCATGATGGCGGACAAGGTGAGGAGCCCTCCCGACAAGTAGAACGAGCAGTCGTAGCTATTCGTCATGACTTTGAATTGACCTGCGCAAACGAACGGAACACATCATGAAATGCGCCAAGTGAGAATTTGCAAGTGTCTGAGAGATGAATGGACCACTAGGCAAGGTACGAATTTAAGCATTTTGATACATGTCTCTCATCCAGAATTTCACGGAGAACACGATTCTTGCATCCAAAATTACTGAAATCAACCCCTAACTAAGATTTTTTTTTATTTATTTATTTATTTTTTTTTTTGAACAAAAGGTAGTTTGATGATATTTACAAGGTGAAACCGTAACTAACAGAGGTTATAGGACATTTCGACAACGATTTTTTGTCCGCGCACCTGTTTTTTCCAGTAATTTACGTCCAGTCCACGCGTTTTTTCGGCACGGGAGTTTTGGTCCACGTGCCAGTTGAGACCCAAAGTTAATTGGCCTACGTGTAAATACAAACGACAATTGCTCGAAAGTTGCTTCAGGCGCCGTCGCACGGCGGGCGGGCGGCCAGCGCGAAACGCGCATTGGCGCCTACAAACCTAAGTGGATACTTCAAGCATTGTGCAATGCGTGAAGTATCCACTTAGGTTTGTAGGCGCCAGTGAGCCTCTCGCGCTGGCAGCACGCCGCGTCGCTCCGCTCTGTGGCTTTAATATTTATACTCGCATAGTCAGCGTTTTTTAACTCATGATTTTGAAATGTTAGCACACTCTGCATTGATTTTTCTCATGTGAATTAATGGGGAAAAAATATGCATCAATTTATCAAAAGAGAATAATAATATGTGTGTTTTTAAATATTGGTGGTTCCGTGTCAAATGTAATGATTTCCAAAGCACTTTAATTTTTTCTTTCACATTTTGTGCTTTTATTGTGCTGGAGCGAGGTGTACGCGCAACGAAACACTCAAAATTTGACGTATTTGACTCTAAAAGATCGATGTACAAATGGGTTAAAACTAAAGATTGCGTGCTTCTTGGTTTTTTTCCCTGTTTTATTCATTTTTGCAGTTTCTGTCGCCACAATTACGGCTCATTGAGATTAATGTCGTTTGGAAAAGGTTTTACAAATATTTGTCACGTTTTAAAAATATAAATGTTTTCAAAATGAAGTGAAGTAATAATTTCGTAAAGAAAAAATAAAAAAAAAAGTACCCATACATATATAAGGTATTGTACAATACTTAAGGGATAGAAATGAAACCAAATATTCACCAATGACAATTTAAGAAGATGATTCAAAAGGAGAAAGTAATAACATTTCATTTAGAAAATGAGCAACCATAACAACACCTCCTTCTCTCTCAATTTCTCATTTCCATATTGTCAGAATAATTTTACATACCGACTGAAATATAACGCTTGGACCAAGTCACTGTAGTTTGTTTTACGTGTGGGCGTAAACTACTGGACAAAAAAGGTGCGCAGACAAAAATCGTTGACAAAATGTCCTGAAACCCTAACAGATTACGGCCAGAGGGCCTATATTTACCCTCTAGATTTTAAAGCCTATTTTGCATGTTTGTACTATTTATATTAAGTGGTTCCCCCCGTGCTATTTCCCTTACTTGTTTTCAATTTTTTAAAACTATGCGGCGTGAAGTTCATCTTCCTTCTTGTATAGTTAGATTATTGTTCTTCCATGTTCAACTCGGTATCACCCGGTGACATTCCATCGAGGGAAGATTAACAAAGATATTGACGTTTTAATTTCACATTGAACGTTATGGTTTGAGTAGCACAACTAAATGTAAGGATTGAAAAAGAGAACCAATATGCTATACATTTTAACTATGTTTATTTAAGGTATTAATTCATGCCGAAGCTTTTCAAACCGCCAGGGTTAATTACTCAACCTTTTTCTCTGGTGGTTTGAAAAGCTTCGGCATGAATTAATACCCTCAATAAACATGGTTAAAATGTATGGCATCTTGGTTCTCTTTTTCAATCCTTATAATTTCACATCGATTACGGGAAATTTGAATTATCCGGTCACAAGAAAAACAATACTCCATGTGAGTCGAATCGCGCACTTCTACTGTTTAGGCGGACCTCTCAATCAAACATTGTTCATTTCCCATCCTTTATTGGTCAAAGTGTAAACAATTTACTATAGCTGAGCCAAAGCGCCAAGTTGAGATTGCAATACTTTCGTACGGCGGAGACTGCCACGGTAACATTTAGTGTGCGATTTGACTCACGTAGACCATTGAATTTCATGAGTGGGAGGTTTAAATTTACGCGTCAAGAAACATCAAATATCTTGGTTACGAGTCAATTTCAGTAATTTATGTTGTCTGAATCGTGTCCTTCGTTAAATTTTGACAGAGACACGTGTATCAGAATTCTAAAGTTCGCACTGTGTCTAATGGTCCATTCCGTGTGTAAGTGGAAGCCACTAAGTGAACTAGACACGAGGATACCCTAGGTTCATAAATTAAGCAATTATTGGAGGAGATATGGCAAAATGATCTAATCTGCTGAAATACACGTGTTTAAATGACACCGCCGCCAGATGACGTCACCAAGCTGTGCATTTTCTCACTTTTAAGTCTATTTTTGCACTATTTTCCTTATCAGCTAAAAAGTACAAAAAGCAATTAGCGCGAATCGGCTCTCTCAGCACTCTCTGATGAAAAATCAAAAAAAAATTGCGTGCAAATGCTCCATTATACTTGAGCAATGATTGAATAGGTATGTTGTGCGTAAGAGATACTGAATACACTTTTTAAGAGGAAATTCGCTTGAAATTCACGTTGCGGGCAAATAAAGAAAGTCTGAAATCCACTCCATTACTCGCAATTTGCGTAGTTTGTAACACGCTTTTTCGAATTTACTGCGTGTGCGGGCAGTTTTTCTTGGTGGCCGGCAGTCGGGTTTGTCCGGAGAGAGACCGAACCTAAATAAACAAACAATCTCGCGAACTGTCATAAACTCTCCTTGCGTAAGATTTCGATTGATGCAAAGCTTTTGTTTTTGCAGAATAAAAAAAGAAACAGGAAACAAACGCTTGAAAACTATGGAAATCATACAATTGAAAAAGGTAGTGAAATCGTCTGTTCACTTGAGCCAGATGTTTTTACTTCTCTGCCTATGGACACCTGGTCCGCTGTGACTATGGGAAAAAACTGCCCGCAGACGCGGGAAATTTGAGAAAACTTGTTACAAACTACGCAGATTGCGCACTAAGAAATAGATTTCAGACTTTTTTGACGTGCCTGACTTGATTTTCGCGCGATTTAACTTGTGAAGAGTATATTTGGACATATTTCTGTCAAACGGAACTATGTGCATTAAGACATGAGCCCTGAAACCCATAAGAATATAAGCAGAACAGGGCTCGCGTCATAAAGCAGATAGTTTCGTTTGGCAGAAATACGTACATTTATTTGGCTGTATCTCTTGCGTGCAACAGACCCATTAGATTCTGATTAGAGAGATTTCTCAAAATATTGCAATCTGCAGAAGTGGAACGGGGAAAAAATTGTAAAAATAGTAATTTTTGGGAGCTTTACAAGTGTAAAAAAGATAGTCACTGATAATTAGAGCTCCAGAAAAAACCGCAGAAAAGCGCGATGAGAGGAGGTAAAACATTTTTTGTAGTGTGAAATTGTTCCTTTTTGTTCGTTTCTTTTTTTTCTTTTTCTTATATAAAATAGGTACCCTGCGAGTTTGATCATTTTTCCATGGCCTCTTGAAGTACTTTTTTACAATGTATATGTCGCAGGCAATCCGCAATCGCCGGCAATCTGCAATCGGTTTGCAAATTGCCTAGGCAATATGCAAACTTTCGCAAGGCATTTCCCATTTACACTAATTATTTTTGATTCATCACTTGCGGCTTGCGAATTGCAGATTGCCGGTGATTGCTGATTGCCTGCGACATATACAATACGCTTCTATGTAAATTTCACGGAGTACGCTCCAACAACAGGCCATCGTGAAATACGTATAGATAGGTACGCACCTGCTAGGGGAGCTCCAAAAACAGCGGCCACTCCTTGGAAAAGGCAGAGTAACCCGAAGGCATTTGTAAGATTTTCTAAACCTAAAAGATCTACAATGATCACAGATCTCAATGAGGCAAAGCAAGCTGAAAAAAGAAGAGGAAAACGACTTAAAGTCAAGATAAATCTGTATCATCAATGGCACTTTTAGAGACATGCAAAATCAGTTGAGAAATAATTTTGAGTGAAATGGGGTTGCAATTTGCGAGGGTGCCGGTGAGGTTACTTTTTGAAGCTGTTTTGTCCAGTACTCATGTCCAGCACTCGTGAAACTAATGTGCGGCAACTAGCGATGCCGTATGCGCAGGGTTCTTGGCCGGGGCTTCCCTCAATTATCAGTAAAGGGATAAAATTTCACTGAAAAAAAAAACTCCGGACGTGGGAGCCGCAATTACGGGCTACATAGACATACCGTCCGTTCCGGGCTCGAAGGTTGAAAATACCGGCTGCTGGAGCCGTAACTTCGGCCTCTGAACCCGGAGCAATCAAAGCTACGCCTCCAGCAGCCGGAATTTTCGGCCTTTAAGACCGGAACGGACGGTATGTCTATATAGCCCGTAAGTGCGGCTCCCACGGCCGGAGTTTTTTTTTCAGTGTTGTTTCATAAAAACTGGGAGTTCTGTACGTTTCTAAATTTATCATGACTTAGATCAAATTTATTTCCCTGTTGTTCTTCAAACTGTAATGACGCATATGACTCATTGCCTTCCTGACTCGCCGTCGCACACGTTCTTTGCTTGTGGTGCCTTTCTGGAGGAGAGACAGTCCCTACAGTCGGAACTTGGTCATATAGTTGAGCCTGACAATATTGTCAATGTTATGTTGAAATCGGAATCTCACTGGAACTCAGTTATGCGTTTTGTCCGCCTAGTTCTCACTACCAAGCATCTCAAGATGTACCCACCCGTTGATATACCGAAAGGTGCAGCCGGGCAGTCTTCTACATCAAATTAAGGTCCTTACTTAGCTCTCTCAGACTTTACTTTCTGGCTCTAAATGTCTCTCTACGCTTTGTTCAATGCCTTAACCTACACTACCTCCAGTCTTCCTACATGCTCTCTAGTCATTGGCTGTCTTCATTTAAAGTCTTCTATTTTATCACACTCTTTTGGGCCTGATCTGCTGTCTTAATGTCCTCATGTTTTTCTGCTGTAGAATCTTAAATTTGTCTTAATATCCCTGCCAATTTATTGTCATTTTCGCATGTAATTTTCATTTTGTATACTCTTTGTAAACTCTTTTGTAGAATAAAAAAAAAAAAATGACTCATTGCCGATGCGTAAAAAAGAGGACCGTGGGGCAAGAGAGACAAAATGGGCCTGTTGCAAACTTTTGCTAGAGCAAAACTAAGAGTTGTTTCCTGCAGATAATGCCTCAAAAATCACGATGAGCGCATCGGCAAAGTCTGAAATGCACTCATAACTTCACAATCTGCGTAAGATTTTTGCGGTTTTTTGAGCTTCCCGCTTCGAAAACGATACTACGGTACAGGTGAACATTTTGTTAGAGGAGTCGTTCCATTGGCGACAATACTCATCATGGCCGACGCCAGTCCGCCAAAACACGTGTGATGGGACGAGATAACACCTGAACAGGATTAAACCATTTAACAATCGGCGTGTTTACGTTCATATTTTCCTCGCCCGCCTTAATTGACCTTGAACTCTCCTCGAATTACGCGAGGAACTGCGCAAGCGTCGGCCATGATGAATATTGCCGACGATGGAGCGACTCCTCTAACAAAATGTTCACCTGTGCAGTAGTATAGAGTACCTGTATAGCGAGAGTATGGACAGATCGCTTCATGGAGGGCTTAGGGCCCAAAAGTGCAGCCACTCTTCTAACCAACTTCTAACGCACAAAATTTCACTGCCAGTCTGCAGATTCCAATTCTAACTATTCTAACCATGATGGCAAAGAATGTACAGAAATGAGCGTTCTTCCGCGAAATTGAGTAAATTTATGCAAAAACTGAGTCAAACACGTGCTTAATAAACGACGGTTCGTAACAATAGTATTAGTAAATCGTTCTGGATAATTGAAATTCATAGGTTGGCTGCATTTCTGGGCCCTAACTTTATTCGCAGAAGCATCGGTGAAGGCCTGATGGATTTTCGGAGTTTCACATCTGTCCATACTCTCGCTATACAGGTACTCTACAGTAGTATCGTTTTTGAAGCGGGAAGCTCAAAATAACGCAAATTTCTAACGCAGATTGTGAATTTATGAGTGCATTTCAGAGTTTGCCGATGCGCTCATCGTGATTTTTGAGGCATTATCTATAGGAAACAACTCTTCATTCTGCTCTAGCAAAAGTTTGCAACAGGCCCATTCTGATACTAATCCTATAATGCATTAAAGCGTTCCCCGATAACTTTGCCGCAAAAAATTCTCGAAAAAGTCAAATGAACCCGAGTTAATGTTCATCTGAAGTTCGCTTTTTTTTAATGAGATGTCACGACACGCATAACAGCGATCATTTTGAGTTTCGCATGGACTTTTGAAACCAAGGTGACTCGTTCGTACTTAATCACGTCTCCGTATTTTTTAAAGCGAGAGTGTAAAAATTCACTTTCTGACGCAGGGAGTGAAGTTAAACGAGGAAATTTTTTACCTTCCCCATGTGACGGTAATTTTTGAGTCACTCTTAGTGGAAAACAACTATTCTTGTCGTTCTAGCAAATGAGCAACATGCATAGGCCTTAAGTACAATAGTGGCTTTAGTGCCAGTTTTTATTACTGTTTCACTCATGAGTGCTTCGGTGGAACAATTTATGCCCTTTGGAAGAGTGGAAATTTTTGATTTCCATTTCAGGAACGGCAGGGGTCATTTTCAAAGCACGTCAGTGACACTCTGATGAATTGTGCGCAATCAACTTACGTACCAATGCCTATGGTGCCTGCGAAACAATTAGACCACGTATCTCGTTCGCTGCGTTTACAAATCTCCACTCCCATTTAAGTTTTTCGAAGGAGAAAAAATCAATATCGTTTCTTAAAATTTTCACAGAGCTTTCTTTGCACAGAGAAGAAAAAACAGAAGTTTTTAAGAACTGACGTTGAGTAATTCTCCATTTAAAAAATAAAGTATGACAGGAAGTCTACAACGTCGCAAACTGAGATATGTGGTCTGGTGGTTTCATCGTCGATATGTAAGTATTTTCCAAGTTGGATCTCTAATGTATAACGTCAATGGAACTGAAATTTCGACGGCTAATATGCACAACCGCGTATCTGTGTTTGCGAAGTTGCAGGCTTTCTATCCTACTTTATTTTTTCTTTGGTAAAATACTGCCGTTCTAAGGGAGAACGCCGTATGAGCATTCGAGAGTTGCCAAATTTCCCTCGATAAAACGTGTATATTTGACAACATTTATGCATATTTTTCCTTGAAATTTTCAGATATTTTAGATTAAATTGCGTACAAAACTGTGTGAAAATTTTGGAAAATAAAGTTCAAAATTTTTCCAGTGATTCCGGTTCTTATCGGAGGAAATTCAGCAACGTCTGAAGGCTCATAAGGCGTTCTCCCTTAGCACGGCAGAATAGTCAACGTAATTTCTTGAAAACTTCCTTGATTACTTATCTCTGTCAGCAGAATATTCTGTAAGTTCAAAGCTATAAATTTGGCTTTTTTTCTCCTCGAAAAATTAAAGTAGGAGCGGAAATTCTGAAACGCCGCCATGAAAATTTCGCTCTTTTGTCAGCGATCTATTTTGCAAAACTCTCCATCTCCACGTCGAAGTAAAAATCATGCCTGCACGTAATGATCAACCGAACCTCTTTTTTCCGCCATGACATCCGCTCAGCAGTCGTGTTTTCTACGTTAAAAGCTCTCTCCCTCGAGAACTTTTTTAGGCTTCAGCCAGCAAAAAATCTCACATTCATACACTACGCTCTCAAAGAGTGTAGGGTGTCCGATTAGGCATGTAAAAGGTTCGTTCAAGCGAATGGGAGGTTTTCAGAACATGAAGTCTTAGTATCATTTTAATATTTCTTTTGGATGTTATTTTGATTGTGTTAATTTAAGTAAAAGTGTTTTTAATGACGCAAAAAAGTAGATAAAGAAATTTTTAAAAAGTTTTTGATCACCAGGTCTCTCCATGAATATCAACGGTAAGTGGAATTACCTACAATGATAGTACAATTAGACCATTATGTTTATACAGACATAAACGAGGGTGTATAGACCGAGAGAAACGCTTCGAAGAATCGTCGTAAATTTTTCATAATTGTCATAATTTTTATTAGAACAAAAGAAGAGTTGTTTCATGCGGAAAGTATCTGAAAAATCATGGCGAGTATACATCTAAAGAATCTTAAATTTACCCCTTACTCCTAATTTTGCTGATAGTGCATTTTTGAGCTATATTTGCTTCAAAAAGTATATTCCAGTGAGTAAAGGCATGATCTGATAAAGGCCGTTTGTCAGTTTTGCAGAGAATTTTTTTTTTTTTTTTTTTTTGCAGAGAGAATGTCGGCGGTACTATAGTCCGCAACCACGTATCTCGCTCGCGGTGTTCGAAAATTTCCGCTCCTAATTTCATTTTTTTAAGAGAAGGACAAATCGACCTCGCGCAGAGAAGAAAAATCATGGTAGAATTTGAAAATTGCCATTGAGTAGTTTTCCATCTAAAAGATAAAATATGATAGGAAGTTCGCAACGTCGCAAACAGTGGTTATGGACTTACATCGTCAATGTATTGAATTACGGCGGCTGTAGAATATACATTTGGAAGTGAGAAGCCAAAAAATGTGGACATTTCAGCAGGCTGTGAAGGTAAGAGCTTTCAGGCTTTCCCGATGCAATCATTGTGATTTTGGAGTTAGTCTCCGTAAGAAACAATTATGTAGCCAGGGAAACTCCAAAACCACTCATCTCATTTACGGTGCTCAATAAATTCCGCTCCTGATTTATTTTCTTATAAGAGGAGTCAAGTGCGAAATAATATAAGAATCTTAAAATGTCATGGATTCAGGTATTGTGGGGCTACAAATGAAACGTCAAGTTCAGTGGCGAGGTGTGAACGATCGATTATCGATATTCCCCCGTTTGGAGCAATGTTAAGAATCGATTGTTAAGGTGTTGGTTGCGGTAACCTATTTTGGCACGGCTGCGATGCCGTCAAAATGATTCACGTTACTTTTATCTCAGTTTTCCAGTTGCTGTTAGTGGCGGCGTTTTGCGAAGTACCAATGACAAACAGCCTCAAAAAACCTAGCCTCAAGAATAAGAGTTCCAAAAGACTCAGCCTCAGAAGTTACATAAGTAGCAAAAGTTTCAAATTCCTGGAAAATATGTCCCGCCGTGAGAAATGGGAATGGGAGTTGCCAAGCGCAATGGAAATTGAGTACGGAACAGTGATTGAAATGGCCGCAGACTCATCTCGACTGATCGGTGTGCATGAGAAAGGAACGTTAGCATTCATATCGAAGAGGGAATCAGGATACAAGTATGGTGAGGTAAGGCTTATACGGTAAACTACAGGCTTTTAACTCAACACTGAAAAAAAATCTCGGTGTATTTACTATAAGACAAGCGTAAAATTACCAAGAATTCAGGGTTCTATTTGATCCCAGTTTTTTCTTGGTAAAATTACCATTTATGAAATTGGTAATTTTACCAAGAATCTCGGTAAAATTATTGAACTTTCGCGGTAATTTTACTGGACCTTGGTAAAAACGCCAATGTTTTTTATCGACTGTGGTAGAATTACCGAGATAAAATGGCAAAGTTATACCAGGAATTGATTACCAATAAAAGTGGTATTCTTACCTGAAAAAAACAGTAAAAATACCGGTTTTAGGTAAGTTTACCAGTCTGTCTTGGTAAAATTACCAATAATTGGTCAAAAAAGTGAGATGGTAAAGGTACCAACGGACCTTGGTAAAAACGCCGAGAATTTTTTTTCAGTGAATAAAGTCAAGCTGTGGGTTGGAGGCTCGGAGGTGCAAAAGAAGGAGGGTGGAGAAAGTCTTTCCGAATTTCTCACATCTCAGAGAATATTTCCTAAAAGATTCACCGCTTTCCGTTAAAGTATTTTGACGGTGTAGGTCGGCAATTACATGACTCGGGTTGCGACGTCGCGTCGCAGACTTCCTGTCACACTTTATTTTTTAAACGGAAAACTACTCAACGGCAATTCTTTAAAACTGCCGTGATTTTCCTTCTCCGTGCGAAGAACATTCTGCATAAACTTCAAGGAATGATGTCGATTTGTTCTCATTTAAAAAATAACGTAGAGGCGAAGATTTTCAGACAACGCAAACGAGATATGTGATTGCGGACTTACGCCGTCAATTTAGGGATACCTACGTGGAAATTTTATTCGACAGATCTCTGGGCTATTTCAAATTCTTCGAATTTTGCATCTTCCACGCACTAATTTAGTGGGAGACAAATTTGACCGAGTTTATCAGGAGGAACCAACCCACATTTTGAAAAAATTGAGTCGAGAATGTTTTTGAGTTCTACTAGTCGTATATTTCCTCCTGCCGAACACTGAAAGTCGAACTGGAAAGTCAAAGTTTGTGAAGGGAGCGGATAAAGTTTATTTTCTACACTAGACCGTATGCAGGAATAAAACTTGAAATCTCTTTTTCTCAGTTTCAACTCAATAGGGGTTGGTTCCTTTCTGATGAACTCAGTCCAATTGATCATTTCTCATGACATTCATTTTATGGTCTTTTCTGGATTCCGTATAGGTACCGATTTTTAACAGCGATTGTGAATTCCTATGTTTTTCGATTACAATGCATGTTTTTTGATGATCAGTCAGAAAACCACAGACATTCATTGCGGACTCTCCAATATTTTACTCGTTTGTTGTTTTTGAAGGAAAACTAATTGAAACTGCTGAAAATCTATCGGGGACATCTTTTGAAAGTTTGGGTAAAAATGAAAGAAATTATCGACAGACTCTTGCAGCCCCAAACAGGAAATCGAAACGGTTAGTATTCCCGTATAAAATATAACGTAACAGGTGCCAGAGCACTTAAATTCAAGCTCCATAAGGTTTTTTTTCCCGCAAGAAGAGATCAAAAATGTTCACAGTGACGAGAAAACACTCGCAGGAACAAACCATTATATGAAAAAAATATGAAAAAAACCTCCAATCTGCGGGTATTCAGTGCTTATGATGTTATCGGTTGAATAAAACTGAAAAAAAAAAAAAAAAAAAAAAAAAAAAAAAAAAAATCATTTTCATGCGCATAAAGTACCTTCAACCGGATTTTTCTTTCCAAAATATTTGTAGAACCCTGCTCCATGCTCTAGTGTCAGTGCTTCAATTTTGAAGTAATGTGGCCTGAAGTCCCTTTTGAGGGGAGTGGAGGGAGTGTCCAAAAACCGTGAAAGACGATTGTTTACGTAGATAGGTGCTTCCGTGAAAATAGTTAAATCTCAATCGCAAAATGAAGTCTTTTCGTAACGAAGACTAGAATTTTAGGTTGAGCTCCAAATCTATTATGAGACTTGTAAGGGTTACAACTATTTCCTCTCTACGAACAATGGTAAATTAAAAGATGTTTACTTCCATTTAGGAAATAGGAGCTCATTTACTTTTCCCTTTCATCATTGGTCTCATACCATTAACTTCCATAGGTAATGTACATCGAGAAAGGAAGATTGAATGAGCGCCGATTCCTTTCAAGGATTCTGGATTTATACTCGGATAGCTCGGACACATCGCCTTGGAACAAACACAAGGCAGTAGCTTTGATCTCCAAACTGGCGAAGAAAAAATTGAGAGTTGGTTTGTTCTGTAGCGCCATCCAGTGGATGCAATACGTTACGACCGGCAAACCCCCGAAATGCGTGTTTGGTCGACAATGCCCTTTACACCGTGATCTAACCGCTGATAAGTCAGTTACTGCCGCTAGCATTGGAGATCGAGGTTTCTTCTTGGAAAACCACTCCAGAGCCTTTAAATATCGTAAGTCTCGAGTTACTAAATTTGTTGTGGACGAATTTGATCGCCTGTAAGTGAGAGTTTCAGTTTGATTTCTAAAATAATTAATGGCTACATCCTGTTTCTGAAGTGAAAACTTTCAAGCGCTCATGCAGCTAATGTCAAACGTTTTTTCCTCCAATAATCCGTCACTAAATAATGTGCGTAATAGCCGTGTTGTAATGATGCATCAGATCTTTAACAAAATGGCGACCCTGGTAAAAATTGGCAGTAGAATCTAAGTTCCAAAATACCATAGACCTACAGCCGGCTGTAAGACTTCCAATAGCTTCTATAGCCGGCAACACAATTTCTTATAGCCTTTTATAGCTGATGGCAATTAAGCAACAGCCTGGCGATAAAGTGTGTGCTAAACGTTACTAATTACGGATGCTAGGACTTTAAGAGTTTTTGGACTACCGCTCTCTTTTCGGGCCGTAGTATCTTGATTTATTTTGCGAGGTAAGCTCCGTACTTTTGAAGGATGTCTGCCATTCCTAATATGTTGAAGCGCCTTCAATTTCGTGTGATACTGTGCAATACCTCTGGTGTGAAATAGTTGTTTCAAGCGCCGTGGTACGCTGCGGCGCGGCGGGCAGCCATAGCCAGCGCGAAACGCGCATTGGCGCCTACAAACCTAACAGGGATACTTCACGCATTGCGCAATGCGTGAAGTATCCCTGTTAGGTTTGTAGGCGCCAGTGCGCCGCCGCTCCGCTTTGTGTTAGGCTCTAACATTTAATCTCGTGGAGTCAGCGTTTTTCAACTTATGACTTTGAAATGTTTGCACACTCTGTATGGATTATTCTCATTTTAATTGACGAAAAAAATATGTAGTAAAGGAAAATATAATTTGCATTTTGTAAATATGGAGGTGATTCCGTACAAGCTTAAGGATTTACAAAGCACACGAATTTCTACACAATTTCTTATAGCCTTTTATAGCCGATGGCGAAAAATTAACAGCCAGGCGATAAAGTGTAAAGCCCGGCGATAGAAACCATAGCCCGGCTGTATAACTTTTTATCGCTTCGTGTAGCCCGGCCGTATGATTTTCTCCACTTTTTACAGCCAGCTATATGATTTTCTATCGCCTTCTTCAGTCGGCTATGAGATCTCCTATGGTATTTTGAGACGCAGCTCCTACCGCCAATTTTTACCAGGGGAAAAAATGCTTCACATCTCAAGTATGGCCATTTTTGTGACGGTTTTTCACTGGTCGCGATAAGCGGCCTGATTCGGTGCGCTTACAGTCATAAGTAAACAAACAAGATGGCGACTCCGCGGAACCATTGAATAATTCCCTCCAGAGGGAATTAATGAAAGAAGCAGTAAAAATATGATAAAGAATTTAATTATCTTATATAAAAAAAAACTTTAGGACTAATTTTGCGTCATATTAACATGATGATTCGAAGAATATTACATATTTGATTGATCCAGAGGAAGAGGGTTGGCACACATTTTTTCAGCAAATGACCAACAGGAGCGTTTATTTATTCACGGTCGCCGTAAGGGCATCATGATAGCCTTGAATTCGTAGTCCAATCAAAAGGCGGCACAACTCTCTTTTATACTAAAAGATAGGAATGGCCATACTCATTCTACACAGACAGCTCATTGAATAAGTTATAATTTTCATGATGAACCGCAGAGAATGTGAACACACACGTGAAAGTCGCCCCTACAACGCGCTCTGACGCTCTGCGACACCCAAACGCCACATGCGCCTTTTCTCCTACACGGAGAAAAAAACTTCGTGCGTGGGACCCGAAGTTTAGGTCATATGGATCTCTGAAGTTTTCGGATTGAGCATCTGAACACTTTAGATCCAGCTGCTGAGGTTTGGATCACACATCTGAAACTTCAGTTCTTACATCTGAAGTTCTTCGGTTTTCACATCCGAAAAACTTCGGTTCTCACATCTGAAGTACTTTAGATGTAAGAACTGAAGTTTCAGACAGGACCGGATTTACCTACTTGCCGCCCATGGGCCGCCTGTATTTTTCCGCCCCCTTCTAATTCGTTAAGTGAACGTGCCGGTAGGGGAGGGTTGTATGAGACGCGTTCACTCGTGTTGAGCATTTTTTGTAAAAACCGTGTCAACACTAACAAAAGTTCACGGAACTTCACGCGAAAGTTAAGTTCCATAAACCCACCCCTGTTTGGACAAGGCCTTCCATTCATAACAAACGAACGAAAAAATTATGAAAGAACAAACATAAATGCGGTTTAATAATTTTAACTTCTGCCGCTGCGCCGACCGCCCTGCGTTTGGCGCAATGCGTGAAGTATTCATGAAGTCTAGTAGGCGCTATGCGTTTCACGCTGACTGCTGCTGACCGCGCCCAGTGTGTTTGACGCAATGCGTGAAGTAGTCATGCAGTCTTGTAGGCGCTATGCGCTTCATGCCGAACGCCGCGCCGCGCCGAAGACTTCTCCTTTTCATCTCAGTCCTCGTCATCATTGGTCTCTGCGCCGCTCCCGCTTAAGGTCAAATTGCGTGTTTGGTTTCTCTCTTAACTCGACTAATTAAAGGTGTTGTCTTTGGTATCACCGAAAGACGACAACATTAGATGTTTAATATACTTTTACTGTCAGAAAATGGGAGATTTTGTCGCATTTTCTCCTTTGAAATTTATTTTCTGAATCCGATTTTTTCTTCTTTTCTTTGATACCTACATTCAAAAAGATTGCAAAATTTGCCGCCCCCTACATTTTGCCGCCATGGGCCGCGGCCCATGTGGCCATCCCCTTAATCTGGCCATGGTTTCAGATGTGTGATCCGAACCCCGACAGCTAGACCTAAAGTGTTCAGATGCTCAATCCGAAAACTTCAGAGATCCATATGACCTAAACTTCGGGTCCCACATCCAACGCAATCATCATCATCATCTGGCATTTGATGACATCATCGTATCATGTGATGTACACTTTGACTTTGACGAATGAGGGGCGTGTTGCTTTCATGCGATAAATCGTCGCCTTCCAGGCATAAGACCGACTACACTCTGCAATGAACCGTGTTGTTCACAAAATTTAATGGTTTTCCGAGCTCATCTCAATAAGTAGAAGTTACGCCCCCTTGTCGGCCAAGCGAAGAAATAGTACAGCGCTTCTATTGCATCTTATATAATTTGTTTAATTTCATTATTTTCAATTAATGATAATGATAGTTTTTGTGAATAAAGATTTATGGGGCAACATAATTTTGCATGAGTTTCTATTCATTCGTATTCTTTATTATTATCTCGTTGATTTCATTCCTTAATTACTCATCTCATATTACCTAACTTTTATTTAAGGTTTTTTAGGTTGAGGAAGTCTGATGTTTTTGAGTTGAATCGAGTTCAAAAGGTTTATATGAAAATTGGACGAACATTAACACAATCATGCACCTGAATAATTAATCGATTAGATTATCTAATCTGCCGTGATAGCGAAGAGAGCCGTAAGTGCAAAAATGAGGTTTTGAGAAAACGGGCTCAGAAGCTTCTGACAAGAACATTTTATTGAAAGAAGTTTCCGTTCTTTGTCAAATTGCCACTAATCGTCCGGAAGACTCCTAGAAATCGTATGGATGATTAAAAATCGACTGATTTTATTTCCATTGCATAAAAAGGGTATTTTTCATTTTCATGCTAGGTTATTGTCAGGCAAGACAGCCGTAAGTGCTATCTTCTGCATGCTTTCGTGGTTGCGTTTTGGACGCAAAACAAACACATTATCAGGTTAGAAATTGGCAGAAGAGGGCGGCACCTTACCGGAAAACACTGTTTCCATTGGCTCTCATGCACCTGCGGCTGTCTTGAAAAAAACTATGTCATTTTTTGTGCACTTACGGCTTTCTCATACGTCTTGTTTTCATTAAATTAGGATGAATTTTGCTGGTTTAGCTGTCTCAGTAATTTCATCTAAAAGAGTTTAGACGAATTTTGAAGAAAACTCGATTTCGAAAATTTTGCACTTACGGCTCTCTTCACTATCACGGCAGTAATGTAAGTATGCTCATTCATGCAAAAACGACTTACCGATTGCCAAGCCGAAAATACAGACGTATGTGAACTGGTAAGAGGGGGTCATGAAAACGCCACTAAAAATGGTAGCGATGCCCCCTAACGTAAGCGCTACGTTGTTTATGAACAAGCTGTTGACGCCTGGTAAACTCGTGAGTAGGCCACAAGCCATACGACCCACCGTGTTCGTAATCCCGATCACAGGAATCAGCCAAACGGCCGTCTCGGCGTCCATACCAGCATCCTCTGCGCGCTCTGGAAACCGGGAAAAAATCATTTTAAATTATAAATCTTTTTTCGAAACAATTGGATTGCATTTTGCAAAAAGGAACCACTAGCATTGCAATGATGCTAAGATTGTGCAACTTCATCTTTTGCAATAAAATTGCGGAAATCGTGAAAAACTATGAAATTCAGATGGTAATTTTTGTCTTAAGTTTACAGTTTTTAGCGAGTAAAATAGAAACTATTAATGGATAATCGGGTTTTTCCTTCAAGACAAAAGAAGTTGCACAATCGTAGCAACATTGCAATGCTAGTGGTTCCTTTTTGCAAAATGCAATCCAATTAACTTTTATGTTTTTACAATTTTTCTGAAAATTTATTTTCTTGAGGTAATATTTCGACTTTAAACGTCGTTTCTCATTGACAAAATTCGATTTTTTTAAAGTTGAATCCGTGCGGATTTAATTTTAAGTCCGTTCTTTAAGTTAAAGAAACCACCTTTCGCTATCGTTTTTTTATCCTGAACTTAACGATAGCAAAACAACGTTTCTTCAACTCATTTTGTCGACAAGAGACGACGCTTTAAGTCACAGTAAAATCTCAAGAATTCTTTTTCAGTGTTATTGAAAAATTAAAATTAACAACAAAAAAATTTCAATTAACAACCCCGTCAATTACTACGTATCGACGAGAGAGATCCAGGATGAAAACTTACCGTTCCTCAGTACGGAAAGTTTCCCGAGAATTTTCCACTGAAGCCCGAAATAAATACGTCGTCACACTTTTAAAAAGTGACAGAGGGTCCGCCATCTTCATGGTCGTATTTACTGTCAATATTAAACTAAAGACGACCGACCTTCTGTCATTCTTGTGAAGTATGCGTAAATTTAGTTGGCAAGAATTCTGAATCTCATTTCTCGAGAAAATTTGACACGATACAAATGCACACATTATGTAAACTTTATCACGACTGTGCAAAGCCACAGTGTTACTGAGAATATGTCTATTCCTGTTTCCGGCACCTAATTTCTTCAGGAACTTTGATTCAGCTGTAATCGACCAGTGGCGTGGCGTGCTTTGCGATATATCGATTGTTGTGCCATTTAAACCTATGAAAACGATCGATTATCAGGGTGTTCAGCGAACACCTTAGTAATCGATTCTTTACCATAGCTTCAAATGGCGATATATCGATAATCGATCCTTCACCTCACGCCACTGTAATCGACGGTTACTAAGATTACAAAACAGGGACTTGGAGGAAAAAGTGCATACGTGCAGTTTTTGCTATTTGGAGAAATTCGAATTTGAGGTTTCGAAATTACTTGGATCGGCGGCCACTCCACCGCCACTGACGCAATGCGTGAAGTATTCATGCAGTCTTGTAGGCGCTAATATGTGTTACATGCCGACCGCCACACCGAGGGCTACTCCTTTTCATCTAAAGTCCTCGTGATCATTGCTCTCTGCGCTGCGCCATTCCAGACCAAATTCCATGCTCGGTTTCTCTCTTAGTCTTAAATGGACTAATGAAAGGTACTGTCATAGGAAATGAGAGATTTTGTCACCTTTCCTCGTTTGCAATTTTTTTTTCTGATTCCGATTTTTCTTTATAGCTACGTTTAAAAAAAAATGCAAAATTCGCCGCCCCCTAAATTTGCCGCCATGGGCCGCGGCCCATGTAGCCACCTCCTAAATTCGGCCGTGTCCATAACAGCTACTTGTCATTTTTTACGAATTTTGAGATCGCACTTTTATTGTGACGAGTCTAAAGAACTCATGTACCTTTGACAAAGAAATTCAATGCAATAAAGGCGTGGTTTTTTTTAGAGGAGTTTCTTTTCAAATTTGGTGCATTAATTTTTCAGACTGATGACAACAGAAGTGCGACCTCAAAATTCGAAAAAAAATCACAAATAGCTGAAATTTTGGAACGAATCGATACGATATATCGCACGTCGCACTGACACAAAAAATGGTGTCCGTCGAATCACCTTAAAACCAATCATCGGCTCCATTGGAGGTTTGGTTAGCCATCAAAGTGTCCTTGCATCAAAACAGAACGTGATAAAAAGCAAAAAGTTCGGAAAGGTTCTTACCTTTTAGGTACATGAAAGGAACGAAAAATCCCATCATCGTAAAGAAGCCACTGAAACCCAGAAGCAAGAAGGTCGGCGAGTAGAGAAGCGATATGTCGAGCATAGTTGCTAGAGTTCTTCTAACAGCCTCCGGGCAGAGCTGGAATGATCCCTTCTCTTCTTCCTCTACATCTCGTCGCGTCGGGAGCCTCGAAACGGACATGTGATAATTTAAAGAGCTCACCTAATGAAAGAAAATCCATGTTTTATAAATGTTACACGTTTAAAACTTACTGTAGACACCGCATATCGACGGTGAAACTACCAAACCACGTATCTCGGTTTGCGACGTCGCAGACTTCCTGCCATACTTTATTTTTTAAATGAAAAACTACTTAACGTCCAGTCTTGAAAATTTCTATGATTTTTCCTCTTCGTGCAGAGAAAATTCTGTGAAAATTTCAAGGAATGATATTGATTTGGTCTACTTCAAAAAAATAAAATGTGAGCGTAAATTTTTAAACACCGCAAACGAGATACGTGGTTTGGTAATTTCACCGTCGATATGCGAATTTTATCTAGAGGTCCGGCACTATATTTGCGCCTGAACCTCCGAGCTGTCATTTTATTTGAGTTCGGAACTCCCAACCAATGAATCGCAACTTCGCGGTGCGTGATTTAGGTACCGCCTTGTGAGGTGGTCCTTAAAAATGTTCAATCCATCGGAAACCGATGGGTCTGATTGGTCAAATCTGTTAGGCCTCGATAGACGATCAAATTCCCGAACCAATTCCGATCAAAGTAGCATCAAAGTGTCGGGAGTCATCAGTCTTACACTCATTAATTTGCTTCATTTTAAAATGAAAACTTGGCCGAATTGTTTCCTGTGGCAGGAAATGATGAATGGCGGAACTTCGTTCTGATCTTACTTTGAACAAAAAAGTGCGGCCCGTCAAAATATGATGGTAGATGGTGACCACCAGTCATCAGCATGTCTACTTTGGTCGGAATTGGTTCGGAATTTGATCGTCCATGCAGGGCTGTTGGCAACGGTGCCCATTAATGTTGATGGTTGATGAGACAAAATCGGGCAGAACTTCCTAAACAGGTTCGGAACTCTGAACATAATTCGTTTCATTTGGACGAATCTAGCCTGACTGCATTTTCAGCATGCGATTTCCTCTTATCTCTGATTGTCTACAGGGTTTGAAGACGTTAAGCCTTGAGATTTTCCTTGATTATTCTCCAGAACACGAAAAATATATTCACGCAATTTCAAGACATAATCTGGTATTGTTCTCTCGTAAAATAAACAAATCGCGAGGGGAATCATGCGACTTCTGATGTAGTCAGGTAATTTTTATTCAGTTCATGATGGGTACTTACTTGGGATGCGTATTGAGGTAGTCTCTTTAGGCTTCCTTGTAGGAATATGTCATCTCTGTACATGGGCCTCACGACGCCGTCAACCTTAGGGATCGTTCCTCGTCGGCCTCTCCTGGTCATGTTTACGGTCTCCACGGAACCGATCTTACGGACCGTAACAGCACTTCCTCGCCGATCGCACGGATCCAGTAACGCGTGTTGCGGTCCGCCGTTCATTTTCTCCAGATTCTGAAAACATGACGAGATTTAAAATAAATATACTAGGCTAGGGAATCGTCGTAAATTGTAGACAAAACTGAGTGCCTCAAATTCGGCTCATAGTTTTGCGGAGAATCTTCAAATAACAGATCTATAGTATACAGTGGCGTTACGTGCTTTGCGATTGATCTACCATTTAAACTCATGGGAAAGGATCGATAGACAGGGTGTTCGCAGCGGACACCTTAATAATCGATTTTTTACGACAGCTTCAAATGGAGGAATATCGATAATCGATCAAGCACGCCTCGCCACTAATGGTATACGATGTGTGGCATCTACCGATCACTAACCTTAACATTCGGTTCTGGGTGAGGCAGCCTGTCTTACCTAGAATCGATATATTTAATGAATTTAAATGGATTATTAACTTAACAGTGTCATCTACTTGCTGAAATCGCCACTGATATAGCCATCTCTAACCGCCTCTCTTCGAAGATTATTTTTTTTGGCGACGTGACGTCACATTACGTCGTAATACTTCAGGATCTTTCCACGATTTTTTTCATCCCTTCTCTCTGTCTATTCATCCCTCTTATGGGATCCTCTCCACCCTGAAAATGACGTTGAGCTAAACGTGATGAGAACCCCACTTAGAACAAATCGACGGTGTATAGGTCCGCAACCACGTACCTCGTTTGCGATGTTTAAAAATCTCCCCTCGAATTTTATTTCCTTAAAAGAGAACAAAGCGACAGGCTTCCTTCAAGTTTTCGCCGAATTTTCTCCGCACAGGGAGGAAAAATCCGGACAATTTTTCAGAAAATTTCCGTTTCTTAGTTTTCCGTTTAAAAATTGAAGACACCGGAACAAGAACAGCCTATAACTGGAAACCGCGTTTTGAGAAAAACGCATTTAAAGTTTTGTTTTTGATGTACTGTGCAGACTTTTCTATGCAGGTACCCTGTTTTGGTGTTTTTGGGTGACCTAATGCTTCTATTGAAGGATGCCGGGTAGATTTTGCGATACATTTTGGGTTTATACTCTCATATATTTAATTTAAAAAAGCGGTTTATAGGCTATTATTACGCCCAACAGTCATTTTGGTGGCAATATGAAGTATTTATAATTTTAATCACTTATGATTAACGCAAAATGAAAGAATATCGATAGTGAGTAAAGGAAGGGGTAACTAGCACCTCATAGGCCCGTCTATAGGTCGTTCTTGCACCCATCGATCCAGAGGCCTGACTTTACTCGGAAAAAAAGGTTTTTCGACCTCGAGCAGTTACCTATCTATATTCTATCGCTACCACAGCATAGTCCAGGGTACGTAGAATCCGAAAAGCAGATGGGCGTAATAACAACCTATACGCCTATAGGCTGTTCTTGGTGCGGTGTCATCAATTGTAATCTTCCGTCACATTCTTACGGCGCAATGATACAACTATTTGAACTTTCCGGAATGCGTGAGGTGTCACGCCGCATTTGAAGGCGTTTTCAAAATAGCCAAGTTCTGATACCCGGATTATCGTTTTGCAAAGTTCTTATTATTATGTTTTATTTCCTACCATTTGTTTGTTTTCAATCCTCCTGCAAAAACCGCCCATTTGCTAAATACAATTCTAGCTGGAGCGCACTTCAGCTATGCATTCACCACTGCAAAAATGTCACAGGAAATCGACAAGCCCAGCGTGTATGGAAGCTATTTCAATAATTGTAATCTTCCGTCACATTCTTACGGAGCAATGATACAACTATTTGAACTCTCCGGAATGCGTGAGGTGTCACGCCGCATTTGAAGGCGTTTTCAAAACAGCCAAGTTCTGATACCCGGATTATCGTTTTGCAAAGTTCTTATTATTATGTTTTATTTTCTACCATTTGTTTGTTTTCAATCCTCCTATAAAAACTACTCATTTGCTGAATACACTTCTGGCTGGAGCGCATTTTAGCTATGCATTCACGACTACTAAAATGTCAAAGGAAATCGACCAGACTAGCGTGTATGAAGGCTATTTCAATTGTAATCTGCCGTCGCATTTCTAAGGCAGGCGCAATGATACAACTATTTGAACTCTCCGGAATGCGGAGGTATCACGCCGCATTTGAAGGCGTTTGTCAAAACAGCCAAGTTCCGATACCCGGATTATCGTTTTGCATAGTTCATATTATTTTGTTATATTCCGTAGCACTTGTTTATTTTTAATCCTCGTATAAAAACCATCCATTTGCTAAATAAAATTCTAGCGGGAGCACACTTCAGCTTTGCAAGCTGGAGCACACTTCAGCTTTGCATTCACCACTGCAAAAATGTCAAAGGAAATTGACAAGCCCAGCGTGCGTGTAGGCTATTTCCATTTTAATCTTAATCTTCCGTCGCATTCGTAAGGCGCAATGATACAACTATTTGAACGCTCCCGAATGCGTGAGGTATCACGCCGCATTTGAAGGCGTTTTCAAAACCGCAATTAATATATGACATTACGCAATTAATGAATGACAGTAAGTCGAAAACCGAGATACGTGGATGCGGACACACACCGCGTCGAAGTAGAAATAGAAGTTTTTGTTAATGTTCTTCCCTCTTCTCTTTTTATTCTATCCTTTTCACCTCTCAAATGGACCGAGTCCATCAGAAAGGAACCAACCCTAATCAAGTTGAGACTGAGAATAAGAGGTTTGAAGTTTGATTCCCTCATTAGACTCGATGTGGAAAGTAAACTTTAACATCTTATTTTCACAAACTAATATTCTTTTCGACTTTAAGTTTCTGGCAGAAGAAAATATACAACTAGAGGAACTCAAAAACATTCTCATCTCAATTGTTTCGAAAATGTGGGTAGGTTCCTTTCTGATGAGCTCGGTCAAAATGTTTAAACTACTACTGACGTTTCCAGTCCCCTATCAGCAAGTAAGCCATTGTTGGATCCAGGAAATCGGCAACATTGTTTTCCCCATTTAAACCTATGGAAATGTACCGCTTCTTGGAGGGGCCAGGTGCTCCGACAAGAATCGATTATTCGACATATGTTTAAATGGAGGAAATCCGGCGTTGCCAAATTTCTGGATCCGCCTCTGAAGTAAGCACTAATTACCTGAAACTCGTCTTTGATGAAATTGGTGATGCGATCACTGTCCTGATGTTGGAGCTTCCTGGGGCTCTCGAAGGCGGGGGTGGGCGGAGCGAGGTGGGCCGGGGAGCCACCGTTGCAGTTAGGTTTGGTATCTACCTCCGGGTAGATGGGGATGCTGAGCCTCTTCTCCGATTTCGATTCGACGCGCAGGAGGTTCGTGCGGGGGTGTGCGTGGTGCGCGTAGTTGAGCGACTGCGTCGACACGGCCGCCTTGCAGAGCGTCCCCGTTTTGAGGATCTCCGACGCCGACGGGTACAGCGCGTTGTTGTTCACCTTGTGGGCCAGAAATCGGAATCGTATCAGTGAGGAACGTGGGAACTGATGGCGGAGAGTCACCATGTCCCCTTTTTCAGCTCGAATATGCCATTTTAAATGTGAGGAAATGTGAAAAGGTACCTTTGTGTCCCTATAGACGAATTTAGTGGTGACGTCACGGAGCGATATTGTCGGTTCGATATATCTAAAGTCGAAATGTGCCCCAGCAAACAAACATAACCTCCAAAATGAACAATTGACGAAATAATGCTGAAACTGCCTGAAACTAAAAAATTGCTCCATGGGACTTTAAAAGTATGAAAGCTAGCCATTTACAAAAACGTTCGAGATCACAATCACAAGAATTGACTGTATAATAAGCTCGTAATATCAGTGACAGTCATAAAGCGAATCCCCCTACCCCCCCTGCCTAGATCCCGCAGATTCCTATATGTTCGTTTGTTGGGGCACGTTTCGACTTTCGAGATATCGAAATTAAATCGAGATGTGACGTCACACTAAATTCGTCTATTTACGAGCGGGTTTTGCATCCGTGTCCTCTTTTTCTTCTCCTTTTTTCCTCCCCTCTCCTCATAATTAAGATGATGCTCGTATCGGACTATCAGCAGTTCATCGTCCTGTCTCTGGTTTAGAAAGAATGGGATACGAAGGTACCTTTTCATCATATGTAGAGTGCATAGAGTTGTAATGTAAATGGGAGAGCTGGCGCCATGATCTGGTTGAGGAGTTCCGAGCCCGGCGTGCGCCGAGCTTCGGTTACTTTGTGAAATCGTTCCAGACAATAAAAATTCAACTTCGCAATAGTTTTTGACATCAGAAAATTCTAGTATGCAATGATCAAATAGACTTCGTTTTGCGCTGAAGGACCAATATTTCTGGCCGGTTAAAGGGTATAGCCCAAGCTAATGATATGACCAATTAAATCTATAGGAAAATGAATAAAGTTCGAAAGTGACATGCAGAATTGAATATAACGGTCACCTCTCTAACCAAGCGTTTAAGTCTCCGGGGTTATATCATCTTTGTCCTCTTAAAACTTTTATGGGTGAGACGAATAACGCTCAAAAGTTACAAAACTTGAATGTAACGGCTACTTTTCTATTCAGGAATTTAAGTCTCCAGGATTTATCTCAATTCTCTCGTAAACGCTGATAATGAATAAAGCTCAAAAGTGGCCACGTATTAAAGTTTCCAAGTGCAAACATAGCTAACTTCTTGCTAGTGTGGGGGATTTTTAATCCATTTTCTCAAAATCGATTTAATCGCATCGATTTGTAATGGGTTCGATTCATCGTGTACACCGATTTTCTTCTTTAACAAAATCGCAAATTCCGATTTTCGCTACCCGAATGTGTTAAATCGGCATATTAGTCGATTGTTGGACCAAAATATCAGCGAACTTCCCGGAAATTTTCATTTGAGCTCTTTTCTTTTTATAAAGAGTGCGAATTTTGAGCTTTCGTAATTTCCGCTTGTTTTAACTCGATTTTTCGGGACATCAATTTTTCGTCACAATTAAATCAACGGAATCAGGTTCTCGAAGAAAATCGCATAGATTTGATAAAACGATTTTTTAGACAAAAGATCCTCAAGTAAGAAGATAGGCAGAGACAGATCCAGCGATTTGACAAACCCGGATTTTCTCCATTTAAACCTATGGTAAATAATTGATTCTTGTCGATGCCCCTCCAAGAATCGATACATTTCCATAGGTTTAAATGAAGAAAAGACAATGTTGCCAATATGCTGGATCCGCCAATGAAGAGAGGAACGAAGTGGTACCTTGAGGAATGTGTTCTGAGGGTCAAGTGGTTCGGTGGCGGTGATCTCTAGCTCTTTTTCGCTGCCGTGGATGGAGGCCTCCTCGTAGGAGATCTCGTAGATGGGCACCTGTGTTTCGGAGGTGACCAAGAGGGGCAGTTTTCCGTCCGGTTCGTGGAGGTCATCGTGCCGCGTGTCCTCCAAGTTCTCGGCCACGTCGCTCGGGATCACCACCTTCACCGGTTTCAGCGGCCGGAACAGCGCCCCCAAAACGGCGCAGTTCAAAATGAAACCTGAAAAAGTTTCATCATAGCGTAGAAACAATAAGCGAATTTTATGAAGATTGTCTGGTGTTACAAAAGTTTCCTACCTTAAAATATCCGCACGGAGATGTATACTACCGTACCGGGGAAGAACACCGTATGAACCTTCAGGTGTTGCCAAATTTCCTTTGATAAAATACGAATTTCCTGGTAAACTTACAAATATTTTTCTTCCAATTTTTCAGATAGATTTCCTCGCAATTCCAACAAAAAGTTCTGACAATCTTAAGGGTAAATATACATAACTTTCCTGAAGATGTATGTGACTTTTGACTTCCACCACCGAAATGTACTCTAATTTAAGATGAATATATTTTATGGGAAGTTTTAACACCCACCTCCTTGAATTATGAAGCTGCCTCTCCAACCGAAATTCTCCTGAAGGTAGGTACCAACGTGCGCCATTAAAAAGGTTCCTATGCCGGAGCCGCAAACTGCAATTCCTGTCGCCAGGGCGCGCCACCGTTCAAAATAAAACCCTGTCGTGATCACAGCTGGTACGTAAATCAGCCCGAAGCCAACACCTGCAATTCAAATTATGAGTAAAGGCACATCAAAATTAGCTCAAAATTATAGGGACTCTGCAAGGCCGGACTTACCTACATGCCGCTCATAGGCCGCCTGCATTTTGCCGCTCCCTTCTCATTCGTTTTGAAACACATTAAAAACCATCAGGTGAACGTGCCGGGGGAGGAGTGCATAAGAGCGTTTACTCGTGTTGGACACATTTTTTGGGAAAGCCCCGTGACACTACTAGCAAAAGTTGACGGAACTCTAGGCGAAAGTTAATATCCGTAAACCTACCTTTGTGCGGGCAGGGCTCTCCATTTATGATAGACGAACGAAAAAATTATGAAAGAACAAACATAAATGTGGTTTCAAAATGTTAACATCCGCCGCCGCGCCGCGCAGACCGCACCGTGTTTGACGCAATGCGTGAAGTATTCATGCAGTCTTGCAGGCGCTATGCGTTTCACGCTGACCGCGATGACCGCACTGTGTTTGATGCAATGCGTGAAGTATTCATGCAGTCTAGTAGGCGCTAATATGTGTTACATGCTGACCGCCGCACCGAGGGCTTCTCCTTTTCATCTCATTTACTCTCGGGGATTGAGAAATGTTGTCGCCTTATCTTGTTTGTAATTTTTTTTTAAATGCGATTTGTTTATGCCTACATTTACAAAAATTGCAAAATTTGCCGCTATGGGCCGCGGCCCATGTGGCCACCCCCAAATCCGGCCCTGGGACTCTGGATAGAGCAAATCAAAAAATAGCACACAGAGCTCATACCAATGGTGTAGAAGTTCCAACGATAGCGGGAGCTAATGATAATCTTTGAGTTTGATGACAAATCGTAGTTTCCCTCACGAGGGAACGTAACTCTATTTCAATTTTGCCGAATTTTCCCTCGTAAATTGCTTTATAACAGAGAGAATCTTGGGCATTCTCTACTGACAATTTCGTTATTTTTTTCTCAGAATTCATGCAGAAATCAGAAAATGTTTCGATAAAAATTGCACATGTACATTCTTGTAAAATAAGTTAGCTATTTGAGTCACTTTGGCAAACTTGGAATGGAGGTACGTTCCTTCGTCCGGGAGACGACAAAATGATGGACAAAGTCCGTAATTTGCTTGACAAACAAAATAAAAAACTTACTGCTTGTCACTCTGCTCAAAGTTGTATTTGTATGGTTATATCTACTTCGTGGAGAATGTTCTATTCCTAAAAGAGCCTCCCAAAATAAGGTTTGACTTTCGCAATCGAGAACTTGACTCAACTGGAAATCGACCCGACCGGAAATGTGTTCAAACCCAAAATTTGGTTTTTCTCGGATGGAGAATAACCAATTTAAATACCAATAAAACATCATTGATTTGCCTAAAAAATCGCGAAAATTCGATATAAGCGATCGAAATATCGACTCTTCAACGTTTAAAATCCGATTCTACAAGAAACAATTCGTAGGTATACCGAACTGAATACTGGAAAAGGGGCGAATTTTTGGGAGGCTCTTTGCAGCATCGTTCTTACAATATCGGCCGATGTCGGCCTCCTATGGTGTAGTGGTTCTAGCGCTAGTTCTATGATCGGGAGGTCCTGGGTTCGATTCCTGGCCAGGCGACTCGAGTTGAAGTAGAAAAAGAGAGAAATTGATTATATGGGGCCTGCGCGTAAACGCGTGGTCTACTTCATATTTGTGTATTATATTAGAGTTTCTTTTACTTACCTCCAAGTATTCCATAGAAGAAGCAAAGACTCCATAAACTCGTTGAGAAACTTGCGAGTATGAAGCTAATACATCCCAGAATACTGCCGAGTATTGTGACACACCGGAATCCATAACGGTTTGCAAGTGCACTGACGAAAGGTCCTGAACATAAAAAATCATCCACTATATTGACATAAAATGTAATTTTTAGTGTATTATCCGAGGAAAATACACTATTGCATTTTTTTCAATGCAGGCTCTGAGGAGGAATTGACAACAATGTTTCCATGAAAATTGCTCGGTGATTTTCACAAGACGAAGCTATTGCGACGGCTAGCGGATTTATTCTTCGGATTTTCGAAGCCCCTTGCTCTGTAGGCAATTTTCTTCAATTTTCTTACAATCCCTGCAATGAAAATTGCCTATTCAGCGAGGAACTTAGAAAATCTGAAGCTTTTTCTAAGCTTTGTTGCGTCAAAATGACGCGTTTCTGGAAACTTTTGTGTAGTACTTTGTCGCCTTGATTTTTTGCGCTCTTTCACCTGCCGTAATCCGTTTCTCCAAATATCATCTACCAAAAAACCTATCGCAATTTTAAAACTCGGGAACGCTCGTAACGTCATTTTCCGAAGGCGTGCGTCCTTGAAAACCCAAAAAATGAACAGCGCTCTAAAAAATACCCCGCTGCACAAAGTTTCAGCTACTTACGACAAAGCAACGAGGAGCTACATCTATTTGAACGAAAAAAAATGGAAACTTTGGAAGCGCATAGCTCACTTACGAAGCGTTTTTGGGCATATATGTATAGGAAAATGAGGGGGGAAAAAACACTAAGAAGTGGCCCGAATACTGTATGTAACGAGGTGGAGAAATGGTGCTGGGTCTAGGTCCACCCACACCAATTCGTGGGGAAATCAAAGCCAAAAAGTTCCAAAAATTTCAATTAGAGTCAAAAATAAATTTTTTAACTCTAATGAGTACCAGTACAAAACTGAGGGGGGGGGATGTTAAGCTCAGGCAGTTTGCGGCATGTTAAGTTAGGTTCACTGACGAGTGTGATCTGCTGATGAGGTATCTAAAAAGACCCAAACCGGTATAGATCTCTCGCCGTGACTCTAACTTAATATTCCAATGCAAACTGCCTGAGCTGAACACTCTACCCCGCTCAGTTTTGTACTGGCACGCATTAGAGTTAAAAAATTTATTTCTGACTCTAAATTGAAATTTTTGGAACTTCTTGGCTTTGATTTCCCCACGAAACGGTGTGGACCCACCACCTTTTCTCCACCTTGTACAGGAAAAAATAGTCATATTTTCAGCAGAAAATTCGATCCTGAAAGTTGAATACGTTGACTTACGGACACCCTGTATATTGCCTCTACACCTTTAAGTGGTGTTCCTTATGAGCCACTAATTGGTTTGTAAGCCATAGGTTTTTCCCAGTGCGCATCGCCCATAACAGCGCCATATAAAATGTTTTTACCTCCGGTAAGTATGCACTGAAAAAAAATTCTCGGCGTTTTTACCACGGTCCGTTGGTACCTTTACCATCTCACTTTTTTTTACCAATTATTGGTAATTTTACCAAGACAGACTGGTAAGCTTACCTAAAAACCGGTAATTTTACTGTTTTTTTCAGGTAAGAATACCACTTTTATTGGTAATCAATTCCCGGCAACTTTGCCATTTTATCTCGGTAATTCTACCACAGTCGATAAAAAATATTGGCGTTTTTACCAAGGTCCCGTAAAATTACCGAGAAAGTTCAATAATTTTACCGAGATTTATCGGTAAAATTACCAAGAAAAAACTGGGATCAAATAGAACCCTGAATTCTTGGTAATTTTACCCTTTTCTCAGTAAATACACCGAGATTTTGTTTTCAGTGTGAAACTTAAAATTACCTGTAATCAAGTAGAATCCGGACAAGAGGGAGCCAACGAGGGACACCTGGGCTTCGGAGGCGTTGAAAGACACGGCGAGATCCTTGAGGAAAGTTCCGAAAGTGAAGATGATTCCGTCGACGACGATGTTACAGCAAAAGGAGGAAGCGACGATGACCCAACCCCAGCCACCGTCGGGGGGCACCACCATGTACGTCGTCACCGTCTGACCCCCGTGACCCGCCTCGCCGCCCTCGCCCCCGCCGCGATCCTCCGTGTGGTCCTCATCGTCCCTTTTGTCCTTTTCGTCCTCCGTTTCTGGGTCCTTCATCTCCTCTAGATCGCCGGGGGTGTTTGGTATCGTCATTGTGGCCTTCTGGGTTGTTCTGCAACACGGAGAAACGAAGGGTCAAGATCATCCCTTTAAATTGAAGGTTCGCAAGGAAAACACGTTTTTGCGCTCAAAAAGGCAATGCTTAAACGTTGTCGGCAAATGGGACCGCGTTAAACAGAAAGGAACCAAGCCACATCAGCTATTGCCAAATTTAATTGAGCAATTTAATTTTTGAGATGAAAACGGTTGTATGGATTTTTGTGAAAATCTCAGTAAGAATTCTCCATAGTTTGAAGCAAATTCCCCAAAAATTTTAAAGGAATCCGCACAAAAGTTCTCTCGTAAAAAATTTAATTGCCCAGTTCAATTTGACAATAGCTGATGTGGCTTGGTTCCTTTCTGTTAAACGCGATCCAATTGGACTTCACGGTAAAAAAGAGGTAGGGGTTGTTAAATGATACGGACGTGTCCGATTAATTGCGATAGTGTCCCGATTAATTGCGAAAGTACCCCAGTTAATTGAGATGGTACCCCAATTAATTGTGGTACTACCCAAATACATCAGATTACTAATCCAAATGTTGCGGTGATACAGTTTTACGGAGGAGTCAGAAATATTGGTTTATCCAGTGGTTACAGTCCGTTTATTGCAATGATGGTTGATTCGTTTCGTGGCATCAATAGACTCCAACCTCCCAACATCCAGCCAAAAGAGGATAATGATTGTTATTCTCACTATGAATAGCTCACTATTTAATTATTTCAAACTCTGACTGCCCTCTATAAAGAAGNGGGGGGGGGGGGGGGGGGGGGAAGCCATCTGGAGGGTAACCGCTCCCCAATGTGGCGTGCCATTGAAGATGCATAACGGCGCGCGCGGCGTGTCTTTTACTCGGAGCAACTTTCACAGCAGCAAAAACATGCGTGTGGTACACATTTTCAGTTGAAGGGGTTTTATAAGTCTTGATTCGAACCGTAACTTCAACGTGCACGGTGCACGCGCCGCGCCGCGCCGCGTCCCGAAGTCTGCTAGAAGATTGTATTTTTACGTAACTCCTTACGACTGCATATTCTGCGAGTACAATTCGTCACCTTCCAGTAGTATCACAAAGTTCCAAAGTATTCCAAAGTATCACAAGCGCCATGCGACGTTTAAAAATTTCCGCCGCCATTATATTTTTTTACAGAGAAATTGTTCAACGAAGCTGTCCGAAAATTTCACTGAATTTTCTTTGTGCTGCCAATAAAATTTAGTGAAATTTCCAAACAGATTCAACCAACAATTTCTCAGTAAAAAATATAATGGCGGCGGAAATTTTTAAAAGTCGCATGGCGCTTGTGATAATTTGCCTGGAAGGTGACGAATTCATTTCTGTAGCGTTTTGCGTTAAAAAAATAACACCACATTGAGCTCTGCAATACTGCCAAATAGTATTTCCTGTCAGTAAAAATGTTAATTTCGGTTCTCAGTAAGAAAAGGAGGATTTGGTGGGTTGATTTTGATCGATCTTAAGCTTTGGAGGCTTTCATTCACAATCTGTTAGCTTTCCTGCAGAAAATATGAGTCCATGGGTTTTATCAACTGACAATGAGAAAAAGAGAAGGAGGAGGAGAAGGAGAAGAGCAAGAACAAGAACAAGAACAAGAACAAGAAGAAAAGAATAGGAAGATGAAAACCGGGAGGTAGTGTGGGAAATTGGATTCGATCAGAGAGTTTTGGTCTAAGATCTGCAAAATTAAAACAACTTTCCGTGGAGGGGAAAGTTAAGAAAACCATTATGATGATTTGCGGATTCAAGGCTATTATTTTCTGCCGCGGTCAAGAATGAGTATGAGAAAAATCATTTTTCTGCTTCAGAATACTGTTGAGGGTTTTTTTTTTCTTCTTATCGTCTCACAGATACAGTAATTAGTACTCGATTTAAAAATGAGCTTATGTGCCTGAATTGCTGATAACTCAGAGCATTTTTATCTCAAAGCGTATATATTATCAGCCATCGTTGAAGGAAATCATGGAAAACAGTGGTAATGTGTCCAATATCTTTTATTTTACGACAGTGATAAAGAGAAAACACGTGCAAAGAATTTGCACGAAAAAAGCTTCCTCTTACCCGGAGAAGACTCTGCTGTCTTATGTAACAGTATTTTATCGTAAAAATATTTAATGGATCGACTTTATTGAATTCTTAGTATTCTACTGGATGAAGAATCTCCTTAACTCGTTTTCAGGGTTCCTTATTCAGGGTACCTAAAGCCCCTTCATAGGGACTGTGCGGGGTTCTTCTCATTGGTTCACCCATCTTAATCAACAAGGGGCTGTTCATGGCCCAAAAATTGTGAAATTTGTAAAAAAACGTAGGTTAGAATGACAACTGAATTTTTTCGCCCTAAACAATCTCCATTGGGCCCAGTGTCCTTACTTTGTGTACATTTGGACCGCGTTAGGCAGAAAGAAACCAAGCCACATCAGCTATTGCCATTTAATTGGACAATTTAATTTTTTACATGAAAACGGCTGAGCGGATTTTTTTGCAAATCTCAGTGAACTTTTTGCACAGCACGAGGAAAATTCCTTGAAATTTTCGCAGGAATCCGCACAAACGTTCTTTTGGTAAAAAATTGAATTGCCCAGTTAAATTTGGCAATTGCTGATGTGGCTTGGTTCCTTTCTGCTGAACGCGGTCCATTTTACACACAAACAAAGGGCCGGATTTAGGGGCTGGCCAAATGTGCCGCGGCCCATGGCGGCAAATTTAGGGAGCGGCAAATTTTGTAATTTTTTTAAATGTTGCTATAAAGAAAAATCGGATTCAGGAAAAAAAATACAAGCGAGAAAAGATGACAAAATCTCTCATTTCCCGAGAGTAAATCTCTAATTTTGTCGTCTCTCTGTGATACAATAGTCAACACCTTTAATTAGTCGAGTTAAGACTAAGAGAGAAACCGAACACGGAATTTGGCCCGGAACGGCGCGGCACAGATACATGCTGATGATGACGAGATCTTGAGATGAAAAGGAGAACCCCTCGGCGCGGCGCGATGGTCGGCATGTAACACATATTATAGCGCCTTCAAGACTGCATGAATACTTCACGCATTGCGACAAAGACAGTACGGTCGGTGCGTTCAGCAGCGGACGCCGTGAAACGCACAGCGCCTACAAGACTGCATGAATACTTCACGCATTGCGTCAAACGCAGTGCGTGCAGCAACGGTCGGCTCGAAACTCATACCGCAATACCGCATACAAGACGGTAGGAATACTTCACGCATTGCGTCAAACACAGTGCGGTCAGCGCGGCGCGGCGGCGGAAGTTAAACTTATTAAACCACATTTATGTTTGTTCTTTCATAATTTTTTCGTTCATCTCATATGAATGGAAGGCCTTGTCCACACAGAGATAGGTTTACGGAACTTAACTTTCGTGCCGAGTTCCGTGAACTTTTGCTAGTAGCGTTGACAGGGCTTTCGCAAAAAAATGTGTCCAACACGAGTAAACGCGTCTTATGCAACCCTCCCCCTCCGGCACGTTCACTTGATGGTTATTATTGATGTTTCAAAACAAATGAGAAGGGGGCGGCAAAATACAAGCGGCCCATGTATGGCAAGTAAGTAAATCCGGCCCTGCACAAACATATTCTCGCTCGTTTGAGAGTAACAGTGCTCGCAAAAATTCGTACGGGAATATTCCACATGAACCGAACACATGTGATAATGAACAGAGACCAATTATAGCGAGCCACTGCGATTTAATAATTATTGTTCAGCAATCCGACACTGAGCTTACATAAAAATGGAAACGCCGGCCAAGCGCATGCGTCCGACTTATCACTCCAACCGACATATTTATCTGTTCCGAAACTTCTCTTGTCAATGGGCCTGTTGCATGCAAGAGATACAGACGTGCGAATAGACTTTTCAGAGGTTAAATGACACAAAAATTACGATGGTCACATTAAAAAAGTCTGAAATACACTCCTTACTGCGCAATTTGCGTTGTTAGGAACGCGCTTTTTCAAATTTCCCGCGTCTGGGGGCAGTTTTCTAACGGAAACAATTAACGGCAACTCGCGGCTATTTCCGGTCAACTAAAACTAACAACATAACCTTAAAATCGGAGCTCGTGATATCGTGAAATGAAATGTAGGAGGATTGCGTTGGATATTTAAAAGTTGATCGATTTGGTTAGCGCATAAAGCGTATGGACAACTATAAGAGATCACGTTGGGTTTGTAAACAAACTGAAGGAAAAAATCACAACAACAACGACTCGGCATCTTCCGGAAATCACCGAGCCCGCCGTTTGCTCGTTTCCGGTGATTAGAAAACTGCCCCCAGACGCGGGAAATTTGAAAAAGCGCGTTCCTAACGACGCAAATTGCGCAGTAAGGAGTGTATTTCAGACTTTTTTAATGTGACCATCGTAATTTTCGTGTCATTTAACCATTAAAAAGTTTATTCGCGCGGCTGTATCTCTTGCATGCAACAGGCACATTGTCCACGGTTTTGGATTTGAATTAAGTTTCTTTTGCCAAACGGGGAATTCCGCAATTTAAATATTTCTCCTCTGATGTCTTGATATGTTCATCATTGCTGTTCAGAAAATTAAATAAATATATTGGTCATAGTAGATTTCATCTGCTTTTCAATCGATCTCCTTTTTCTAACTTTGCCCCCAAATTTTTCCACATCAAAATAAAAGTGCATGTTCCGCTCATTCTATGATGCCCATCTTCAAGGATGCAGTTTGAATTAGGAAAAATTCCATGTGAGGGTGAGTTCAAAGCTCGATGAAAGAGGATCGTGCGGATTCGACGAGTAGTGCTCCTTCAACGCATGCATGAAAGTCATTAAAAGCTGTCTCAGTGGCTCTTAAGTCACTGATCATAATTATAAATAAATGCCTGTAATCGCCGATTCCGTCTACAGTTTAATTGTCGCTGCAATGATCTCGATGCTCGAGCCATCAGTAGGTTTCCTAAAGCATACGGTATCGACCTACGTCTTTGAAATTCGTAAGATATTGACCCTCATAGGGAAAGATTGACTTA